GAACCGTGGGAGGTCCCAAGGTGCCTCCTTTGAAGGGGACTGAGGCGTCATTGTCCTGTGTACCATGTTCCTTGTATCTTGTGTCTTCTTCAACAAATGTCTCTATTTTTCACAGTACGTGCCTGGATACTTTCTGGACGGACGTCGTATGAAGAATGCCTGCTGCTCAACAACAAAAAACAGTGTCCCAAATAAAAAATGGGCAAAGGACTTCCAAAGAAGACACAGAAATGACCAAGGAGACAGCACCCCGTACTCCCCACCCCCCGCGTCCCATCCCTGAACCGCCTTTCTGCGCCCACCATGCTGGCCCTTCCCCTTGCTCCTGGACACTCTGGCTCCTGGCCCCTGGCCTCCCCAGCCGCACCTTGTGTGCCTGCTGTGTGTTCAAAGCCAAAGCAGATGGTCTTCCTGGCACCTTTCCTCCCTGCTGGACCCCCCCCTCCAGAGAGGGTCCCATCGGGGCCCCTCAGCCTCTCACTTCTCTGGCGACCCCTGAGGTCCCGGAACCCACAGCCCCCAGCAGCCCCACAGCTTTCTCCACAGCCCCACTCTGGTCTCCACCTGTGCTCACACCGCCGGGCCCCCTCTGGATGCATGGCTCTCACTTGGCAAAAGCGTCACTGCCACCAGGACCCAGCTGAGAGCGGCTGGAGACAGAGTCTGTCTGGAAAGACCCTCGGTGGTGACTCTGAGCCTGACACTAGCCTCCCGGGCTCACAGGCCACATCTGCGTCCACCGCACCCACCGTGGAGGTCTTGCAGGTGCCGGGTGCCCCAGGACGGGGCTCCCGCTGCCCCTGACACCAGTGGCCTCTGCCGGGCCACACACTAGGGGTGAGTGCCCTGCCCCTGCCCTCCCACTGCCTGCACTGCTGCAAATTCCCGGCTCAGCTGCCCCGACTGTCCTGCGGGGTCTGGGTTCTGGCTCCCACACCTCGTCCCAGGCTCCCCTGAGTCCGCTCTGGAAGAGCTGCTGCCCGCCCCCAGCACCCCGGAGCCCAGGGACCGCCCACGCTCCTCGTGGCCCACGTATTCCCAGCCCTGCTCCACCTGCCCCTCCTGGCTGGGTGCCTGGCCCGCCCTCCTCCCCGACTCGCTGTGAGGTGACACCACTGCCACCCAAAGTCAGACTCAGCACCACCCAAAGCCCTACAGGAATCTCCAACTCACGTCCGAAAGCGAGTTCAAGCCTCCCTGTGGCCTCCGCACCAGAGACGCTGCCAACACGCTGCTTCCAGCAGCTGCGCCTTGCAAACCACTGCCACGACCTCTCTGGGCTCCCGCCAGCCGCCCTGCTCCCGCAGGCCCATTCCCTCCCCGAGTTCCCACCTTCTCCACCACCCGAGGGGCTGGCGAAACCCACGTCTGCTCAGTAAAAGGGACCAGGGTCCCTTGGCTTATTTTAAGGCTGGGCAGAAAATACACAGGAGGAAGTCTGGGACCTTCCATGGTGCCAGTAAGGAAGGAAGGAAGCCCTCAACACAAACTAGAAAGGAAGGTTCCGGAGTGACAGGGGCGCAGAAGACGGACACAGCAGCTGAAAGGAAGCGCCCCCAGTGGCCAAACTGGGAAATCGCAGCAGCAACATGAAGCGATTCCACGTGCCGGACACCCAAGAGTCCATGCTGATCTAACTCACTGAGCCAACAGTAACAAGTGGATAAAAACTAACGAGCAGAAATACTAACAATAAATGGGAGGACATTCCAGTGCAGAATTCCAGTGAGTCCTGGAGAGCCTGCCCCTCCCAGCAGAGCAGCCACAGTGCGGGCATGTGGGGGTGGGGTTGGTGCACAGGGGCGTCACCCCAGACACAGAATGGCGTGGGGAGGCTGAAGAAACAGACAAAGCTGCCTGCGCCTGGAGCTCAAGGTCAGTGTCTCAGTGAGAAGCTGCGTTGCCCTGGGCGGTGTGAAAAGACCATCGGCCTCTGTGGTCGGCCCCCCAAACCCCGGCTCGGGCTGGTCCTGGAAAAACGTCAGACAAACTCCTGTAGGGGACACCCTCCCACCCACCCAGGTCGGTTCCACAGCAGGGGGGTCTGGGGAGCCAGCACAGCCGAGAGGGTGACTGGAGTGCCAGAGAGGAGCTTTGGGGTGGCACATGGTGTCCTGGAGAGGGTCCTGGGGTGGGAGAGGGGCCCGAGGGGAAACCCGAGGGAGTCTGAGAGAGCGTGGTCTTCAGTTACGTACCATTCTCACCGTATTAGGCAGGATTCTCCAGGGAAACAGAACTGGCCAGACACGCAGACTCATCACCAGGCCTCCGGGCTGGAGGTGCTGTCTCAGCTCTTGCCTGCAGGCAGCAGGAAGCTCGTCCCTCCTGAGTGAGGCGCCGCCACTGCTGGGGCGGGGTGGGGGGATCAGTTTTAAGGAGTTGTCTCCTGTGAATGTGGAGACTGGAAATCCAAATGCTGTGGGGCGGGGGCGGCGCCGGGGCCCAGGGGAGGTCGAGTGCTGGGGACGGCCCCTCCCCCCCCTCAGTGTGTGTGTGGGGGTCTGCTACACTTAGAGTCTACGAATTTAAATGTTTGGTGAATTTTGTCCAAAAATCACTGTCACAGAAACACCCAGAAAAGCGTTGGAGCAAATGCCGGCAACCTGGCCCCGCCCTGACGACAGGCGCAAGGAAGCCTCACGCCAACAGAGCTGCCGCTGCACGGGCCTCCTGCGGGGAGCACGAGGGACAGGCGGCAGGGCCTCCCCAGGGTCCCCACGCACGGCCCCTAAAGCTTCAGGAAACCCTGCTGACCTAAAACACTCAGTGGAAGGGTGTTTCTGCAGGTTAAAGGGAAGGACCGAGTTTCGCCCCCTGGGTGAGATTTCCATTTTCTCAAAGTGGCCACTTAAGTTTGGAATGAAACGGGGTAGAGCGCTGTGTTGATGTGACATGAGAACAGTCCTCAAACTTAAAACTGCGCATCTAAGTTTCCTGGGCGGGGGGGCGACTTGTAACAGGTGACGCGGACAAGCCCAGAGTTTGCAGGTGATTCCCGACAAGCGGCTGGTCCGGCCACCACACTGTGAGGACCACCCGTATGTGCTGAGAGTAGCCTGAAAGCAGCAGCGAAGTCATATGGGCATGTCTGCAGGTACGGCGCCTGTCCTGGGTCCCGTCCTGGGTCCCCTGTCCTGGGTCCCCGGGCCTCTGCTCCCCCAGCAGCGTCTGTAGTTCTGAATGTGGACACAGGGTGGCGCCACGTGCCCACAGTACGCGCCCCAGAGCTTGCTGGTGGCCTGGCAGTTTTTCATGCCCCTGCCCTCCACCCGCCTCCGAAACACACACACACCACAGGCAGGAAGGGCAGGTCAGCGCAGACGGACAGATGACCCTGAGATGAGGGTGAGGATTTGACCACTTGGGGAGCTCTTCCCCCTCCAGCCTAGCACAGGCCAGGACAGCCCGGCTGGCTCCGAGCCCCGGGCCCTGCTCCCACCCCAAGCCTTGGTTTCCCCGGGTCACAGGGGGCCCTCTGCACCCTGCAGCCTTAGAGCCTGTCACTCCCTTGTGCAATGTGAGTGGCCACCACCTCCTCCAGGTCATGGCAGGCCCTAGTGGGGAAGGGGCACCTGGGACACAAGCCCTTGCTCTTTGGGGCCTGCAGGCTTGGGGTGATGACGACAGAGGCCATCGTGCCAGACCCCACCTCTGGTGACCTCAGTGTGGGGTGTGGGCAGCAGGGGCCTGTGCAGGGTTTGGTTTGGACAAGGGGTTCTGGGGACCAGAAGCCCAGTTGGGGTGAGGCCTGGAAACTGGGTCCACAGGGAGCCAGGAGGGAAGGTGTGGGTGGAGTGAAAGGTCCAGAGGGCTGAGGCCTTGTGGCCGTCCAGGCCTGAGGGAGGGGCTCGGTCCCTTGGGGGCAGCCTCTCTGACCCAGGGCTGGCGGGGAGCCGCCCCCCACTGCTCACTCCCTGCCACACCAGAGCTCGGGAGAATGGGGCAGCTCCCTCAGCCAGGCCCGGGGGTGGGGGCTGCAGGTCTCATCTGGGAAAGGAGAACCTCATCGGCTGGGTGACTGATCCTTTTTAATCTACAGCTTTATCCCCAGCTGTACCCCAAAGCTATAATTAAAGTTTCAGGCGGAAGGAATTATTCTGGAGGAGGGGCGGCCCCCCCACGGTGTGAGCTGGCAGCTGGACCCAGCATGGCTGGGGGTGACACCGAGGCCACCTCCCTCCCTCGGCCTCCGGGCTCGGGGCTCCTGCCTGGGGAACCGGGTCATGAGAGTGGGTCCGGCCTGGGCCCTGGCAGTGGGGCAGCGGACCGGTCCCAGCTCTGAAACGAGTGTGGCTTCCGGGCAAGAGCAGAAGCGACACTGTGCTCTGTGGGTAACGTGGGCACGTCCTCACCTCAGCATTTCTAAATCAACTGAGCAGGGCCCAGGGGTCCCTGTGGAGTCTGGGGGCCTGACCCCATGCCCGTCCGGCCGGGAGACGGCAACATGGGCACCCGGGGCCCTCATCACCGTCAGCACCTCTCTCCGGCCGCTGTGCCGGTGCCGAGAGCAGCTCTGTCTCCCTCGGTCTCACCAGAGGCCCCCACCCCGCCCCCCCCCCCCAATCCATTCATCCAGCAAGGACCAGACCCACTCCAGGCCCAAAGCTGGAGCGCTTGTCCTCGCAGGGCCTGTCCTCCAGCCACAGAAGCAGGCTGTGGACAACAGGCACCCAGAGAGGTCACCTGCCCGGGGCTTGGACCAGGAACACAGCCGAGGGTACGCAGTGGCCGAGGGGCACGTTGGGGCCACGCTGCGGGGCATGTTGGAGGCCATGGGTGGAGATGGGACCTGCCTGCTCTAGGTTGTCCGGCTGCTGTGTGGACTTGGGGGCGACCCCTTCGAGGTCGGACTCGGGGTGGTGTGGGCGTGGTGATGGTGGTGGGCCCATGTCAGTGTGAGCAGCAGACGGAGAGAAAGGAGGCCTGAGCGGGGGCGGGGGGGGGTGAGAACACAGGCCCGCCGCCCTCCCTGGGGACTGGGACCAGGGCAGGTGGTGTCCCTCTGCACAGGGAAGGCGTGAGACCATCCCCAGGACTTCAGGAAACAACTTCCTGGTAACCGTTTGCTAGGTGAAGAACCGAGCAAGCACAGGAGAGAGATGGGGATGCTGGGGACCGGCCTGCTGGGGTGGGGCCGGGGGCCCGACTCGGGGCGCCGCCCTGGGCGCCTGGATCCGCATGCGGGGGCACCCCCGTCGGCACCAGAGCGTCCCAGGGCGGGCAGGGCTCCAGGCCCCTGTGGCCCTGCCAGTGGCAGAAGGGCAAAGAAGCCGGGCCACTGGGGAGTGTGAGACAGCCACCGCGCAGCTGCTGGCTGCCAGGTCACAGTCCAGGTGTCCCCCAGGCCTCCTGACAGCTGCCCTCCCGGGTCCGCTCCTTCCGCTGCTGGGGCCTCGTCCACAGAGACATGAACACCCACTCTGGGGAGCGCTAAGCCTGGACACACGAGAATGCAGTTGGGGGACAGTGTCCAGAAGCTGTGGTCGGAGGCTGGTCCCAGTTTTGAGCAGGCATCCTGTCTGCCAGCCCCGTGACAGGAGGGGACAGCTGCAGCTGCCCCTGGAGCTATAAAAAGCCCAACACCCGAGCAGAGGTCACACGGAGCAGACGCAGGATTCACTGGCCCTGGGGAGCTCGGCCCAGCAAGCATGAGGCTGGCCCCCGCCATCAAGCTGCTGCAAGCCCCCCTGAGGGGCTGTGTCGTGCCCAAGGTGCACATCTCTGCCAAGCCGGCCAAGACACCCGTCTCCCCCCCGGTAGGTGACATGAGCTGCAAGCAGGCAAGGGTGGGGGGAGGGCAGGCAGTACTGAGATGTCCTCAGAATAAGGCTGGATTCAGGATGCGTCACAGGAGACAGGCTGGTAGAGAGGGAACAGGAACGTCCTCTCGGGTGCTGGGTCTCAGTCCTATGGCCGGGAAGGCATCCCCCCTTCAGGAACGGGCGCCCGAAGCTGTAGCCTGCAGCCCAGGGCCCCAGGCAGCCGGCCGTCAATGTCAGGGGCAGGGGATCCGTTCACAAGCCCCTGCCTGCCTCCTGGCAGATGCCAGGTGTGGAGGGCTGAGCGGGGAGGGTGCTGCTGGATGCTGCGGCTTCACGCGTGTTAAAGGGGACGGTGAGCTGCCTGGAGGGGAACACAGGTGAACCCTCAACCTCAGCTACCCACCTTGGGCACCCAGAGAGCAGGCAACTGTTTGTTTCAAGCATAAATACTCAAGATTTAGAAGGTCACCTGCCCAAGGTCACACGGCTGGATGACGCTCAGATCTGCCGGCCCACAGCCCTGGCCCAGGCCAGCCTTGCTCTTAAAGCTCTGGGAATTGAGGTTAAAGAGCAGGTCAGTCTGATTTCAGGAACGGGAGGGATGGCTGGGCGCAGGCTGCTCTGGCGGGAAGCTGGGTGAGGAAGCGCAGCCGGCCCCGAAGGCCCAGCCACTGAGGACGGGCCCCGACCGGGCCCCACCGCCCCGTCTGGCCGCTCACTCAAAAGCCCGGTGCTCGTTTGCAACCAACTTAGAACCTCAGCTGTCCCTGGTGTCTCATACGAACCTGACAAGCATACTGGGGAAGGAGTTCAAGGTCAAGGCTGCTGGGCCATGCAGGCTCAGGGGTGGGCAGGTAGACAGCCTCCTCTACGGAGCCAACTCTGACCCCCCTACACGGGCTTCCTTCCACCCAGGAGCAGGCTGTGGGCCTCATGGTGACGTTCGTCAGCTTCCTGACCCCCGCGGGCTGGGTCCTGGTCCACCTGGAGAGCTACAAGAAGAGCTCTGCGGCCTGAGCGCTGCTTCCAGCAGCGGAGGACAAGTCCCATTAAACCCTCTCCCCACCTAAGGCTCTCGTGGTGACTGACCTATGTGCACTGCTCGCTTGGGGGCATGAGGGGCGGGGGTCAGACACCTGTCAGAAGGGACTTCCCGGGCCACCTGCCCCAGCTTCGCCCTGTGTGTGTAAAGCAGAGGGGAGGTTGAGGCCATACCACCCTCACACCCTTCCCGGTCCCACCCCTTGCCTTTAATCTCTCCAGACACAGTCCTGACCTGGAGGCTGAACACAAGGAAACCAAGCAGAGGCATTTATTGCGTTCACTGGGGGCGGTGCCCACACGGTGGTGGGTGGCTGGTCACACTGGAGCGGGGGCCCCCGTACAGCCGGGGCCACCCCTTCCCGTCCCTTGGGCCCCCACGCACCAGTGACAGCTGTTCCCAACAAGACAAGTCCCTCCTCCCAGGAGAACCCTGCCCCTCCCTCAACTCCGTGCAGAGCAGGCCGGGGCTGCTAGGTGAGGATGTCATGGGCCTGGTGCTCCACCAGCATCTCCATGCTCCTGACGTCCGTGCACCACACCTCCAGGCGGTCCTTCATCCCCTTGATCTAAGAGCGGAGCAGGGGCACCGGGCGTCAGGATGCCCACGGGGCAGCCGCGGGTGTTCAGCCCTGCTAGGGCTGCACTCATGAGGGGCTGGCGAGCAGGCGCCAGGGTGCGGCAGATGGCACTGACCCAGCCCGGCCCACAGGGGCACGTCCTCCTCAAAAACTGGCACGAAAGGAAATGGGCGAGAGCAGGAAGTCCACGGGATTAACCCTCCAGCAAACTCACACCTGATTGGGTGTGAGCTCCCACCAGACCAATTTTGAGATTAAAAGGCATCACCGGCTGCCCTGCACTGTTATCATAATCACTGTTTAAATACAGGGTTCAAATCTCAGGCTGGCACGGAATCACTGAGGGATCTTCGGAAAACCCTCAGTCCTCACGGCACTAATTCTCTCTCCGAAACTTCACCTGACCCGCCCTCTTCCCGAGGGGCTCCCATCCGGAGCAAACTCAGAACCGAGACCTGACCCACGGCCCAGGGGGACTCCCACTCCACCACATCACCTGCTGCAGGTCCAGCACGCGGGGCTGCACCCAGGTCATGTGGACGCGCCTGTCCACCTCGTCGATGCTGCCCCTCACCAGCCCCACCGAGAGCGCCTTCATCACCAGCAGCTCCACCTGTGCGGGCAGGGCGGCGTGAGCCTCGGACGCCACCACCCCCACCCCCGCCTCACACCGAACACAACGAGACCCCGTTTCTTCCGTGGTTTGTATCAGAGGGCGGGGTGCTGACACTGGGAGCCCGGCCCCTCTGGGACACCCGAGCCCAGGAACCGTACCTCGTTCACACTGATCTTAGCACTTTTGGCAATTTCTTCAAAAGTGAGTTGTCTGTGATTGGCAGGTCGTGTGAAAGTCATCTGAAAAAAAAAAGTTTGGTTTGTTACTATTCTCCCAGACAAAAAAAGGCATTAACGCTGGCTCTGAGCCCTGGCCTCTGGGGCTCAGTGGACTGAGTGCCGGCCTGAAAACCAAAGGGTCATCAGTTTGATTCCCAGTCAGGGCACATGCCTGGGTTGCAGGCCAGGTCCCCAGTGGGGGGCATGTGAGAGGCAACCACACACTGATGTTTCTCTACCGCTCTTCCTCCTTCCCTTCCTCTAAAAAATAAATAAAATCTTAGAAAAAAAAACTGACTCAGAAAATACAGCGATTAGTAACCCTAAGGAGGAGCGTCTCAGTGTCGGCCACACAGTGTAAGCGCAGGGCAGCTCTCAACGCCGCGGGAGGCGGCGCCGTAGTTTCCTGCAGTGACTGTTTTCTGCGGCCACTGCTGCTTCCTGAGCAGCACTCGGAGCTGGGGACAGGCGCTGGGCCAGACCCGAAACGCCAGGAATCTGGTTACGAAAACTGCGTGGTCTTCCTGATGCACCACAGACTTTTCTCCACGGCTCAAAACAGTTTTTGAACTCATTTATTGTGATGCCTTTTAGTGCTTCTGCTTTTCTTTTTGTTTCACCTGTTCCACGTCGGCCAAATGTTTCCCTTTGAGGCCTGTTTTCATCCAGGAAAACAAAAAAGTCCCTTGAGGGGAGATCCGGTGAACAGGGACGGCGCGGCACAGGGGTCACGCCACGCCGGGTCTGAAAGTGCTGAGCACGCGGCACGGTGTGGGCAGGTGCGCTCGTAAACCGCCCACTGTGATGTGGGCGAACCTGGTGACAGAGACCCCCCAAAAAACTCACCGAGGCCGAACGCAGCCTCTCACAGCAACACCAGCTGGCGCACTGACATGGGTGGGGGGTCTAGAACTCTCACCTATCGGGGCGGGGAGGGGGCCTGGACTACAAGGGGCTGCTCGCCGGAAGATAATTCTGGATTTTGGGCTCCCCCCCACCCCGACAAGCTCACACGCCATGGGAAAGGCGGACAAGCATGCAGACGATGAGCAGCGCATGCAACCAAGGGGCAGCGACTTCGGCTCGGGAGGCCCGGCCAGGCCTCGGGAGGGTCCATGGTGCCGACACGGAAACAGACACTCAGAGAAGCACGTGGTGGAGGAGGCACCGGAGGGTGGCGAGGGGCAGGCGCCTCAGCGCTGCTGTTTCAGTGGACTCGCTCCCCTCTCCACCTCGCCCAGAGGCTGGGAGGCTGCAGGCTCACCGCTCACCTGCAGGGACGCGTCACGGAGGGCCCTGGCTGCTCCCTTACCTCCATGAGACACAGGAGCTGGATCTTCCTCAGAAGCTGCGCTTCGTTGGCGGCTAGGTCAGGCTGTGAGGGAGAGACAGCGGTCACCCAACCAGCCAAGGGGACAGAGACAGGCAGCTCTGACATGCACGCTGGGTCCCGAGGCTCCCAGTCAGCTTCCAACCCTCTGGCCCCACGTTCTCAGTGGATTGTCAGATGGGGCCCGGCTGAAAGGCCGCCATCCAGGACCAGGAACACCCAAGGGGAGAGGCTCACGGGTGCTGCACACGCCGGGGGCCAGGCCACGGCGCTCAGGAAGACTCTAGCACAGGGACAGGCACGCCGAGCCAGAGCAGGTGCACGGGCCGTCTGCCACAGCGGGGGCCCGGCCACTGACTCATCGTGGAAACAGCCGTGAGACCCAGACCAGCACCTCGCCCTGCAGGTGGGTTTCACGACTGCAGCCGACAGGGCCGTCTCTGCAGGGGCTGGGAGGGTGGAGCACTGGGTGCAGGGCCGTGCCAGGGTGCGTGGGGCCCCACTGGCCACACTGCAGCAGCTCTCCCGGTCCTGAGACTGGCCTGCTCCCCTCTGAGCCGCTCATCTGTCTCCCTGAGGCGCTGATACACCAACTGCAGCTGGGTTTGGCTGAATCTGCTTTCTGCCTCATCACAGTACACTTGTACCTACTTTGGTTCATTATGGGTGAATTCTACAAATTTTTTTCAACTTTGAGAAATGTGGAAGTTTCAGAAAAGTACAAAAACAGTGACATGCCCTGGCCAGGTAGTTTGGTTGGTTGGAATATCGTCCCCATAACGTCAAGGTTGCAGGTTTGGTGCCGAGCTGGGTACACACAGGGCACAGTGATGCACGAGTGGAACAACCAATGGATGCCTCCCTCTGACATAACTTCACCGAAAATAAACTCACTGCCACGCCCCGGTCCCGGTGAAGCAGCAGCTCTTCCCCCGACCCCCCCGCACCCAGTGCTCCACGCCTGCCTCCCTTCTGCGTACGTGGAAGGTCACGTTCTCGGGGGGCCTGCCACACGCCCTCCCTCTGCACTGTGTGCAGCACCCTCTGACCCCCTGCTTGATGTGAGCAGGCTGCTGCCTCCGCCCCCCCCTCCCCCCAGCACCAGAGGTGGGGAGGAAGGCAAGGTGTTCGGGAAGCACTTGCTGAGCAAACACACGGACAGGGAGTCAGGGGCGTGTGGACGCTCCGCCGGCCCTGCCCGCACTGACCTGCTGGCCCCAGGCAGCCTTCAGAGTCTGGAATCGCTCTACGTTGCCGCTGTTGAAGGCGTAAAGGGTGTCGATCAGCCACTGCCGGTCAGTGCCCCTCAGGGACTCCAGCACAGGGTGCATGAGCTGTGGGCACACACACGGTCAGCTGGCAGCACGTGCAGCCCCCCGTGAGGACTCGGTCCGGGACGCACTCACCAGCTCTCCAAAGTTGAACACGCCCTCCCCGAGCAGTCCCGCCAGGCCCAACGTGAACGCCCTCTCCTGCTGCTCCGGCACTAGGACGACAACACCCGTCACACGGCGGCCACGAGCTTTGGTCCTGTTCCGCTCCACGCATCTCACGCAAGAAGCACAGACACCAGGTCCCGGGAGGGTCACAGCAGAGCACTGACATGCGCCACCTCCTCCAAGGGGCTGGGTTGGTGCAGCTCCCACAGGAAGCCACGTTCACGGGCTCCGAGGCAAGCACACTCGCTCACTTAGTTCCCCTGAATCCGTGGGGCTGCTGATGTTTCCCGACTATCTACGTCCTGCAGCTCTGGGCTCCCTGCGTCCCCTCCTTGGACACGAGACCGCAGCCCCTCCCTTCACCTCCTCCGGCCTCTTCTCAGACCAGCTCAACGGTCTGTGGCAAGAACCCTCTAAAACACGCTGAAGTTTCCTTTCTGAACACGTAGTCACTGCACTTTCCCCAAAACTCAGTGGTCACTCGTCTTTCCACCCTCCCGTCCTTGAAAGATTTCTGCCATTTATTCCCCTGGGTCTGGCATTTCGGCGTTCAGGAGAGTCTCAGGGGCGGGAACAGAGGCCCCGCACCGGTACCACCGAACTGTCCCGACAACCTGCGCTGCGGGCAGTGGGAGCTCGCCTCACACGTCCACCTGAGACTAAAGCTCACGCAGCTCCTTCCCCTCTGACCACGTGGGCCTTCTCGTGCCCGTGAGGAACTCCAGCCCCACAGCTGCTGTGTCCGCAGGGCCAGCTCCCCAGGTGAAGCGGATGCGCGTCCGAGTTACCTGGCAGGTCCTTGATGTCGACACAGCCCAGGAACCGAAGGGCGTCTTTGTAGTAGGAAGCGTGGCTCCCGACCGTCTGGTAGTATTTACTGGACAGGTCGTAGAAGCGGCTGTGCACCGACGTCACCCCCGGCAGGTTGTTGAGCATCTCTTCCACGTCCTCGATCGTTTCCTGTACACGGGAGGCGAGACCGCCTTCCTGTCCCACTTCCGACATCGTAAAGGCACACAGGACGAGGTGAACCCACACAAAATCTGACTCCGCTAAACTAGAAAACCGGTTCGTCCAAAACAGAACACAGGACGGAAGGAAAGACGGCCATGGCTCACGTGACCCACAGGTACAAGTGAAGAGGACACAGGCAACACGGGAAAACGAGCAAAAGAACAGACGTCAGCAGGCGACGTACAGAAGTGGAGACAGAGAGGCCAATAACCCACCGGTGACTAAAACACACAATTATCCCCCCACGAGATACCATTCCACCTCCGCCAGACTGGCGACCACCGGATTGCCTGAGAACACCAAGTATCGAAAACCTGGGGCCGTGGGAGCAAGAGCCACTGTCGAAAAACACTGGGCAATACCTGGCCCAGGTGCACAGCACCTGCCACACACCCGCTGTCTCACCTCCAGGCGCAGGCCCACCAGGTGAGACCGCCCACGCACACACGGAGTCCCGCACGGAACCGCGAACACAGCGTTGGTGGCGGGAGAGACCCCACCCGACCCCTCCCAGACAGACGCCAACAGGAAAAGGCAGCGGGTTACACGTGTCAGCGACACCCCCACGCCCGACACCCAGCCAGGTCAGGTGAAACGACAGCACACTTCGTCTAGACCCACATGCCCCGATCTGGCGGGGAGCAAGGACAAGGGCACCCCTGGCTTGAGCAGCGGTGCTCCCGGGTGGCGTGGCCGGGGCCCAGCTGCCCCCGCTGTTTCCTGAGCCAGAGTAGAAGGAGCTGCCCATTCCACCCTTCTTCACAGCATTTTACAGCTTTCAAATACTTCAAAACAAAGGCAAGAGGTATGTACGGCGGCTGAGACCAGGAAGCAAAAAGAAAGTTTTTTAGGGCAATGAGGACATGAACACTTACACCCAGTACTTCCTTGAACATCACAACTACCAAAAGCCCACACACGCAGTCGTGGTCAACACGGGGCACGGACCATGTGAGGGGTTTCCCCAACACCCACGCCTGTCCCCACGGTCACACCGAAGGGACAATAAGAAAGACACCAACACAGACAGGGAGCTCCGGCCATGACCAGGGAGCCGCGGGAGCCGGAGTGAGGGGCTGACCCGTGGGCAGGAGCCCGGAGCTGCGGCTGGCATGTGCACGCACGGTGCGCACGCACGACAGACTCTGCGTCGAGGGCAGTGGCTACACCAGTCAAAGACGGCAGCCGGGGCCAGGGCGCAGGGCTCTCCTCCACCACTTTAGGTGACTCTAAACCAGAGGCAACCCCGGGTTGTGGCGGTCTCACCTTGGTAACCTGTAGGTCCCCGATGTTTAACTTCAGAGCTCCAATCGCAGTTTTACACAGGATCACCGCCTCGTCGCTACTCTTCACCTGGGGATGTCAGAAACGGGGGCCCTCAGCAGTGGGGGTGCGGGGCCTCCCCGCGAGACTCCGGCACCGAGCACGCCCGGACAGGCCCCCGCACTGCGGACGGCCTGGCTCCGACTCCACACTCACCTTCTCTCGAGTCTTCTCCAGAAAAGTCAGAGCCACGTTAGGGTCTAGAAAAGAAGGCAGAACAAGGTCAGAAGAAGCAAGAGTCTCTTCGGACTGGTTTCGACCAACCAGGACACTGTTAACGGGGATAATGTTTAGGTTTAGAACATTAAAATGATAAAAATACAACTCAGACTCTGCTATTTTCTACCCAAATGCAACAGTTGGACTGCCTGTAACCACCACCTGCATCGGCCCGTCCCAGACACGAGCAGACTCACCTGTCATCTGTCTGACCACGTGAAGGATGATCTCTACCAGCGACAACGGGTTCACCCTGAAAGAAGCCACCAGCCTTGAGTGCCCACAGGCGTCCACGCTTCCCTTCTCAAAGTCAAAAGCAGAGGACAGGGACTTACCTGTGTTCAAATTCACTAATGAAGTTTTCATAAAGCTGTGGAGTAAAAACAGGGAGAGAAATTACAGGACGCCCCTCACCCTGTGGAGCCCAGACTGCGGGCACGGCCACAGTGCTGTCGCACGGCCGGCCTTGCACACTTGCCCGACGGGAGGCCCGTGCTCGGGCTCGCAGCTCACACATGCAGTCACCAGTGGACGAGAGAACGCGGGGGCTTTTCCAGCTTTGGGAAGAGAACCCGCCTTGTGAAAACCCCTGGAGGCTCCTATTCTTCCTCCAAAGCACTCTAAGGAAGGTGGACTCCCGGTCTGAAGGGCTCAGTGGCCTAACACATTCTGGGAGACTGCAGGCTAGTTACGTCCCAGCACCAGTTTCCTGAGCCAGGCAGCCAGCTCTTGGGCCCGTCCTCGGACTCTGCTTGTGCTACCAACTCAGAGACTGTCCAGCCAAGGAGACCTGGGAACAACAAAAGAATGACCCCCACCCCGAGCACTCAGGAGCAAGGGAAGTCAAAGCACACGGGTGGAGCAGCCACAGGGAGAGGTGTCAAAGGTTATTCTAGAAACGGCGAGGAGTTCTGAGGAACGAGGAGCAAAGGGGTGACAAGTCTGGTGTGGGAGAAGGGCAGCTGCGCGCACATTCCAGACGGGAACAGACAGGTGCGACGTGCTGAGAACAAGCCTGCGTTGTGCTCGTGGAGAATTTCTGAAGGGCAGGCAGTGACCGGGGGCACAGAGAACGGCAAGGGGGAGCTGGGGAGCGGCTGCAGCAGCAGACGCACAGTTGGAAGGTGCTGCTGGGGGGTCGAGCCAGACTCCGTGGGCGGGTCCCAGAGATGGGGGCCCAATATGGCCACTGAGGCTGCAGCTGGGTAACTGGGCAAAACGGGAGAGGGAGGGTCCAGACAAGGTCGAGTTAGGGTAAGGAGAGTCTGAAGTTCCTCTGGGACATGCAGATAGAAAGACAGAAAGAGAAGTGTGAAAGAAAATGCGGTGTGTGCACATATACACACACAGACATTATCCAGCCACAAAAAAAGCAAACCCTGCCCTGGCTGGTATAGCTCAGTAGATTGAACACGGGCCTGCAAACCAAACAACCGTGCTTCGATTCCCAGTCAGGGCACATCCCTGGGTTGTGCGCCAGTTCCCAGCGGGGGACGCACAAGAGGCAACCATACATTGATGTTTCTCTCCCTCTCGCCTTCCCTTCCCCTCTAAAGATAAATAAATAAAACCTTAAGGAAAAAAAAGCAAACCCTGCCATCTGAGGTAAAGGGGGGTTTGGAGGGCATCACGCTGAAATTAGCCCGACAAAGAGGACAAGTACCAAGATGTCATTTACATGTGCAACCGAAACAAGAAAACTTCATAGCCACAGAGAGCCCCATGGTGATTGCCAGAGGCGGGGGCAGGGGTATGAAATGGGCCAAGGGGGTGAGAAAGTCCCACTCTTGCCTGTGAGACGGGAAGTCCTGGGTGGGGGGGCACAGGGCGCAGCAACTGCAGCGGGCAGCGCTGTGGCACAGGTCTGCGAGCTGCTGGGCAGGTGCGTCCCAGAGGGTCTCCTCACAGAGAACCTCTGTGGCATTAAGTGCACTGACTATGGGGACCACCTCCCATTCACACACGTCACGTCACTGTCAGTTATTTCTCAGCAAGTCTTGGGGAAAGGAGAACAAGTCCCATCCCTGTAATAGTCAGTTAGACCCTAACTGTCACCCAGCAAAAAAGCAGTGTAAATAAAAAGGCTATCTCACTACCAAGGACTGGCAGTGGCCTCTTCCCCAGTCAGAGGGACTGTCTCACCAGCTCTGACACTGCTGTCACTTACACAAGCACCTAAAGAAAGCGAGCCCTCTACAGAGAGAAGTCCACTACACTTAGAAACTCAAAATTCCTCCAAATTCATGAGCACGATCTATCTAAAAGTTATGTGGACTGGGTCCCAACAGTTTTTAAAGGTTTACTTTGCCCTCAGAAATACTGAACTTAAATCTGTGGATCTGAATAAGTGTCATGTCAGAAGGTTCAGGAAATAGCTTGCTACGTGCAGAAAGTGGCTGAGAGACAAGAAAGCACAGGGGAAAAATGGTTATAAATGATCCGCCACTGTGGTGCAGAACCTCAGGGAACAAACGGTAAGACAGCTGAGTCATCATTTCCCCACATGGCCCGACAGAGCCCCAGGCTTACAGACGATCACAAGTCCCTTTGAATACGACATGTCAAGCTGATGGGTATAAACCACAGGTACTGGGAACTCAGGTGGCACTAAGGTGGTGAGCATCACTGTAGGCATTCAGAGTGACATGTGCAGGGCAAGGAGCTCAGGCTGTCACTGCAAACCGTCTCTCAGTTCCGCGCAGGTACAGGTCTCTGATTTGTTCGGAATCCAAAAGGAAGATGTCAAGAAACTGCAAAGAGCAAGTGGCCAGTGAACAGGTCCGCAGGGCTTTCTCAGGAGCTCTGGGAGCGGCTGGGGCAGAGATGGGCTTTCTTGTGTTGACAAAATCCTGCCAGGGCTCCACTACAGAGGCCGTGTGCCCTGCCCACACCCCTCGCTGCCCCAAGGTGAGCGCAGAATGTGCTCCCTCTCCCACAGGACCCAGGACAGAGGTGTGGGCCAGCAGGCACAATAGGGGGGTGGGGCGGTCCTCTGGTGAGCCCCTCTTTCTGCATTCTACCCTGCCCTCAACTGGTTTTGAGCTTTCAACTTTTGAACAGCAATTTTCTAGAAGTGCAGTAAAGAAACAGTAAAGTTCAGGGAAATGCTGTCAGATACTGTTTCAGTCTGGGACTTACACTTCGTAGCTGCGACCTATGTTGATTCACTTAGTCTCTCAGTTCTGCTTCGATGGTGAAAAGTTGGTGACAGCGAGTCCCCCAGTGCTGCTGTGAAGGGTGAGTACAGGTGTGCCGCACTCAGAACAGCACCTGACACAAAGGGACTGCTGAACAGCTGTGGCGTTTGGTTATAAACCCCACCTACGATTTTAAAGAGTCCTTGGGCACCTTTACATAACCCAACCTAGCGTGACCAATCACGTACCTTGATGAGACCATCCCCTTGGGCAAAGCATGGGTCCTGCACGAAGTCAAGCACCTGAAGAGTCAGCTGATGCCACAGCCTGAAAAACGTAAGGCCTGTGAGACCTACACCCAGTTGCAGCCACAGTCGGCCCAGACCATCCCATCAAACAGGCCCCAGGCCGTGCTGTGCATCCGGAAGAACACAACACAGGTGCTGCTGGCCCGGCGCTCTTTCCTGGCTGGGCTCCCCCGCACTTATGTCCCCTGAAATCACCTCTCCTTCACCTCTCTGGTGAAGGAGCTCAAACCACGCTCCAGTTTCCTCATCTGTGGCTGGGATGCCTGAAGAACTGAGTACAGAAAACCTCTAGAACAACACATTTAAAACAAAAGGCTAATTTTTAAAAATGCAAATAAAATGCTTTGGAAAATACAAAGTGCTACCCGATCCAAGCAATTGTTTGCTAAAATACCAAGTATTTTCTCTCACAAACTGGTAGTGGTAGAAAGTTGAACACCAGCCAAACACATATTGAATATCTATGTCAAGGGCACCATGCCGAACGCTGGGGTAGTTAACTCAAGAACTGACAATTTAATCTTTCTGAAATACATCCTATTTCTAAACACACTCAAACTGCGATCGCTCTAGGGGCACAAGCCCAAAATGAAGTGCAGTGTTAAGTCAGACCCATGGGACCCAGCCTGTGTGTACCCAGCCGCAGAATCGAAGCGGAAGGACAAAACTGCGCTGGCCTCGAGTTCATGCTCCTTGGACCAAAGCGGAAGACGACTATGGACACAGGCCACGTGCAAGACACAGCTTCTACTCTCCTAAACGGGGGGGGGGGGGGGCAGCTTGACCCCACACGGAATCGAGAGCTGAAATCACAGGCCAGCCTTGAACCCCCTTCCGAAAATCAGCAGAAAGGGGAGTTCAGAAGCTCAGCACAGCCCCTCAGCCAGGAAGCAGACGGGGTGGTGAGCCGACCTCATGACCCCCAAACCCAGGCCCCTTGCGCTGTCACCCCTCCCCGCGACCCTGCCCCTCCAGGTTCCCCCCTCGCCCGCCTCCCCTCTCCGTCTCGCCCTGTCCGCAAGTCCTCTCAGCGTGGCGCTCACTTCTTCGTGTAGAGTTCCTCCAGGCGGTGCCACACGGCGGCCTGGCCGGGCCCGGAGCTCTGGCTCTGCTGCAGAAAGCCGGTTACGTCCTTCATGACGGCAAAAACACAGAGCACCACCACACCACTGAGAAGTCAGCACCGCGGAAAGGGCAGCCGGAAGTGCTCGCTCATTTCCGGCGCTGCGCCGCGCAAGGCAGGCCGGGAGCGCCGTCTGCGGCCTTGGGCGCCCGCTGGTTGTCAGGGTAACTGTGCTTTAGGGTCCGGGGTTGGGCCGGGTTCTCGCGCTCCGGCGTGTGCGGCAGTTTCTCACCGCGAGTGGGGGCGATGATAGCACGTTCCTAGTAGTCTCTTCCGAGGACCGGGTGTAAATGCTATCCCTGATCAGAGTCAGTGCTCACAAAGCATCACCACCATTCCTACTGGAAAAAGGTGGGCGTACAGGTGAAGAATTGCGGAGTCCGGCTTCGGTCTCGCGGAGGAGTTCTGCAGAGTGGGGAACCGCTCCCGCCCGGAGACTACCAATCCTGGCCCTCGTGGGGCGGGGCAGAGGGTGGGGCTACCGAGCTGAAGGGCGAGGGACTCTCGGAGACTACGGCTCGAGCGGGTTGCGGCAAACATGGCGTTGTGGGTTCGCTCTGCAGTTCGCGCTCTCAGGCTCTGGGGCCGGGGTGGTGAGCCGACCTGGGCCCGCCGCCATCGGTTCGTCCCGGTAGCAGCCGCGGGGCGGGCGGCGGGAGGCAGGGTGGAGTCGCTCCGGTGTTGCCTTGGCGGCCAGAGGCCGGGATGAAAGCTCGGAGGGGGTTCAGAGTCCGGCACGGCAGCCGTCTGGGGCATGGGGCGACGAGAGAACCTGGACTGTGCTGTCTGTTTCCGGCTCGGTTCTCAGTTCTTCTCGCGGCATCCCGTGTCCAGTGTTGACACCGCCGCTCTTAAAGCCCAGTCTGTACTTGGCCTTTCACTTAACAGTATTTCTTGGGCTTCCATTTCAAAATAGAGTGGTTCTTCAACCGTCTCTACTGATCTGTAGAATTCCATTGTACCGCTTTCTCCCGATTTATGTAACCATTCTCTTACCAGAATAGTTTCCAATCTTGAGCATTACAGATAATGCTGTGGCGAATTACCTTGTCTGTAGGTCACTTTTTCGATGAATTCCTAGTAGCAGAACTCCTCCGTCTGAAGCTGAGCGCACTTTATCGTCCCCTGTGGGGGTCGTGCAGGTGACGCTCCCATCAGCATGTGTTCACACCGTCCCTTCTGCACAGTAGTTGTATGGTTTGGAATCCTTGTCTGGGAACTGAGCCTGCTCATGAAAAAATCGTAAGGCCCACAGTTAGGAAACGAATTTAAATGGCCATTGTTGGGTGGATATTAAGTGCAGTGGCACATTCTCTCCATGCTATCTTACCCGGCTCCTAAAAATATTGGTGAAATGCTTTATAAAGTGATACTGAGACGTCTCTTAGTCATCCAAGAAACCTTTAAACCCATCCTGTGCCAGAATCTGGTAGATGCTGAGGGCACAGCAGGTGCTGGACTGACGCTGGCTTCCGGGCAGGTGGCTGTGAGGGTGGGTCACCGCTAGAGAGTGACCTGAACTCCTAGGTGCTGCTTAAGAGACCAGATAGTCACAGACAAGTCCTGGCTGCCATTGTCCCCAGAACAGGTGGTGCAGGGCTTCCGGCAGCTGGAATTTTGGCCCTTTTAGTTTTGATTTGGGGGCTTCTGTATGGGGTCATCCTCTGCTTCCCTTTCCCAGGCTTGTCCCTCAGGGTGCTCCTGTACCCAGTCAGTCTCATTCCGTGGTGCACCTGGACTTCAGGTTGCACACCGCACGTGTATTCTGGACATCTGGTGAAGTCCTGTGCTCGACCTGGTTTCCAGTGACGAGCATTTGTGCAGGTGGGAGATGCGTGTGGGGCCCTGAGTGGGACTCTGCACGCAGCAGGCACTTGCAGGCACTTGCAGCGACGGGCTCAGTCCCATCACAGCCCCCACTACAGATGCCAGTGCAGGCGACAGCTGGGCTGCTGGCCAAATGGCATTAGATCCGAGGTTCCCACCATCTCTTCAGGTTGGATGAATTTGCTAGAGCAGCTCACAGAACTCAGGAGGCCAGTGTACTTACTCAGTTCGTGGTTTGTTACAAAGGACGTTGAAGGACACAAACAACTAAACAAACAAACAAGAGACACATAGGGAAAGGTCCGGAAGGGCCCCTGCCTTTGGGGCCTGGCGCACACATGATTTCTGGTTCCCTGTCTGACTGAGTCTCCCTCCTCTTTTTTTTTTTTTTTTTGAGGGAGGCTCCAACCCTCCGTGGTTGGTTCCCCTGATCACCAGTCCCCATCCCTAGGATATTTCCAAAAGTCTCTCATTGACAGGAATTCAGGTTGAAAAGGGCTGTGAAGACCAACATATGTATTTATCGTAAATCACAGGATCGCAACTTCCCTCTCATCCCGCCTGCCGTTCCCATAGTGATTGACATTCCCAGGAGCTCAGCTGATGCTGAGTTTCAGTGCGGTGGTGCAGCCAGCGTGTGGTCGTTCCTTCCTGACCACCTGAGCAGTTCTCATGAGAAAGCCCCTTTGAACTTGCTCGCAGGAGAGAGCTGCAGGGCTTTGCTGCAGCGGGGTTCTGTGCAGAACCAGGGCCATGTCTGCAGGAGTGTGGGCGGGGCAGCGCTGTTGGCTGGCTGGGAGGTCGACAGCCCCTGGGTCTTTTCAGGCAGGGTCGGGTCTCCCTGCCCGGCTAGGCTTTGGCGGCTGGGGCACGGGGCATCCGAGTGATGAAGAGACAGGCAGTGAGCTCGGGCCCTGAGCCCTTCTGGTGCCCTCAGCCCTGCACGTGTGCAGTCCCTGCCACCCTTCTCTTTCTCATTGGACACCTTTCAGAAGTCTACTGTTTGGATAACCCAAGTGACAGTTTGTGTGGCAGGAGAGGGGACAATGCAAAGGCTGCATGTGGACTGAGTGGCAAGCAGATGCCTGAGCTACAGCTCACCGGCCCCAGAGTGGAGTGAGGCAACCCTCAGGGTCACAGCAGGGAGAGAAGGGGTGGCCCTAAAGGGAGCGGGGAGCCAGTACTGTCACCTTTCAGAGGAGGGGCAGTGACTTCTTGCCGGGCTCAGCAGTGGCTTCATAAGGACCTGGCCTTGACTCCAGGAGACTCGGGCATGTGGAGGTGGAGAGGGAGCTGGGTATGGGCACACAAGCACCTGGGTGTGGGGGCCCATGTCTGGCTGACAGAAGGGGCATGTGACAGGGCCGTCCCTGCAGTGGGCGGGCAGTGCCCAGACGTCAGGGCCCTGTGGGGGCTGAGAGCTGCAGGGCAGGTCCCTCTGCACAGAGGGTTTAGTGTTGGTTTTGGAAGGAGCAGAAGGAAGCACAAAAGACAGAGCAAACCAGAGAGGGAGTTAGGAACGTCCTCCTCGAAGGTAAGCTCTAGATGGCCCTGCCGTGTCTACAGATGTGCGTGCAGGGGGTTACTGCTTTCATGTGTCACAAGTGAGTTAAGGAAACACGCAGTTTCCCGTGTTTAAGTCTGTTTTTGCGGTAGAGCTGCCATCACCTGGGGAGGGTTGTGCTTTCAACTTGTTGCCTCCGTCCGGTCATGGTGGAGGGGTCTGTGTGCCAGAGTCATGGACGCCAGCCCCTGGGGTGCAGGAAGGCACCCTGAGCAGGGGACCACAGTCACCGACTCTGGGTGGGTGCCACTGAGACACCAGTCGGTGGAAGCCTTTGAGGGGTAGCTCAGTGAATGCCAGCGAGGGCCCTGAGCTGCCTCAGTTTCTGGTGGGGACCGAGAAGGCGCCTGGAGCTTGGAGGCGGATTTGCTTGGCTGTGATGTGAGTGGCCTGTGGATTGGCTGCGGATGTGAAGTCAGCAGCAGTTGGAACCCCTAGCTGTCAGGGCGTGGACGTTTCTTTGTGGAATGGTCTCTAGAACCTACTTGTTATCCTGATAGTATTTGGTGTCAAATGTTAAAGTCGGAGAGGTTTAACTGTCTTGAAATAACTCCGCTGCACATTTATCACGTCCTAGGCATGTTACTGTGGCAGGGTCTGCAGAGCAAGCCCGAGGCCTGCAGAGGGGCTCTGGGCGGAGCTGGCCCCGTGGGCACTGGCCTGTGATGACCGGACTTGGGAAATGTTGCTTTCCTTGTTTGCACGCTTCCCGTTCACACAGGTTTTTTTGCCCCTAAATGAGCCTCAGTTTCTGAGTCAAGTCTGCTTTCTGCCGGAACCTCATGTTCAAGATGGGCAAGGGGCCCTTGGGAACAGGAGGGGTGTGGCCATCCCAGTGGCGGTTGTGGGACGTCTCACTCGCCACCGCCGGCCGGCCTTGCCGGCAGTCCTCTGACCACTCTCCTTTCCCTGCCAGCATCGTGGGCGGGGGCACGCCCACAGCCTGCTCTGCTGGCGTCTCGAGTGCCTTTGGAAATGGAGGCGCCGGGAAGGAAGAGAAGCTCTGCCTACGGGACATCGCAGAGCTGATTGGAGCCCAGGCCCGCCAGAGGGTGGTGGTCATGGCGGGGGCTGGCATCAGCACGGCCAGCGGCATCCCGGACTTCAGGTGGCCCCCCGTCCCCACACGCCCCTCTGTCCCCGGCCGACCCGCGCCCCGGTCCTCTGACGGCTCTGGCCTCTCTGGGCAGATCCCCCGAGTCCGGCTTCTACAGCACCTTGCAGCACTGGGATGTCCCGTACCCGGAGGCCATTTTCGAGCTCTCGTTTTTCTTGGACAACCCCAGGCCCTTTTTCACATGGGCCAAGAACATGTTCCCGGGGAACTTCAAGCCCAACGTCATCCACTACTTCCTTCGCCTGCTGCACGACAGAGGGCTGCTCCAGCGGCTCTACACGCAGAACATTGACGGTCTGGAGCGCGGTGAGCCTCACAGCCCCCCCCCCCCCCACGCAGACACCCCCTGAGTCTGCCAACAGGAGCCTGTAGTTTTGCTCCCTGATGCAAGGACTTCCTGTTATGACAGAGTTTTTCCAGACTGTGAAAGCAAAGAGAAGACTTCGATGAGCCCTCAGGCCCTTGTCAGGCCCTCCCATCATCTTCTCTCTTGCTCCTCGAATTAATTTGTGGCAAATTCTTCACATTATAACTTTAATCTAAAAGTAAATACCAAAAACGCTCAAAATATATCTAACCTGTAAACCCATCATGGGTATCTGCAGAACTTTGAGAACATAACTACACTGTTATCGCACAAATCACTAACAGCTCCCTACCACTGTCAGACCCGCGAAGTACATATGATTTCTGGGCGCAGTGAGCCCGGAAATTGTGCCGCCACCCCCCCATCCCCTGCCCCCCTCTGGCCAGACGGTCAGTGCTCAGCTGCGCTTTCACTTTCAGCCTCCGGCATCCCTGGCTCCAAGCTGGTCGAAGCTCACGGGTCCTTCGCTTCTGCCACCTGCACCGCCTGCGGAAAACCCTCCCCGGAGCAGGACTTCTGGGTGAGCTGTCCTGCGGTGGTTCTCCCTGCGGCCCTGGTGGCGGGGCGATCTGGAAATGTGGTGTTTCGTGAGCACTGTGTCCCAAAGATGGAACGGTGATGGTGTGGAAATGTTTCTCTTTGTTTTAAAATTAGAAATGTAATCCGTGCTTGCGAGAATCTGAGGCAGCACAGAAATGCGTGGGGAGGTGAATGTCCCATCAAGCACTTGCAGCAGTTTGGTGGGTGGCGCCCGTGGACGCAGAGGCGGGCGCACGCCTCCCGCCCGCCCGCATGCGCCCAGTTGTTTTCGCAGCGGAACCGAAGAGCTTCAGGTTCCGCCGCTTCCTTACTGAGCAGACTTCCACGGGGCTCTCCCCAGCAGGGCGGTCCCCTCCCAGACGCAGTGACTGTGGAGCTTTCGTGGGGTGTTCACTGCCAGGCACACAGCAGTGAGGCCTGCGCTCCCCCCAGGGGCCTCGGGGGCCCCGTGGGTGGGTCCTGTGGCTGCAGTGGGGTGGAGGGGACGCGGAGCTGGCCATGGAGCACCCTCGAGTCACTGGGGTGTCGCGCGTCACGGGCTGTGTAGCCGCAGCCTCTGTCTAGTTGGAAGTCCCGTCGGGGAGCCCGGACCACGCACCAGTGCGTCCGAGTCCCGTTCCCTGTCCCCTCAGTCCCCTTTTCCAGAGTGTCACAGAGTTAGAATCACATGTATGTCCCTCTCCGAATTTTGGAGGGCTCTGTGAAACCAAATTGGTAAAGTGTCGTGTCGAAGCTGGGTTTGTTACCCAGCTATGGGGGGACTTAAAAAGCTGGAATTTGTTTATGAAAATCGTGTATGTATGCTTACGTTTAAATTTCAGTCACCTTCCAAGTCCTCTCCATTCGCTGTGAAACACCTGCGGAGAGGTTTCCTCCACCGTTCAAAACGGTTTTTGAACTTGTTCGTTTTGATGCCTCTTAGTGCTTCTGCCATTTTTTGGTTTTACCTCTTCCACCTTGGCAAGACATTTCCCTTGGAACCAAAAAAATCATCACTCAGGGTGAGATTGGGTGAATAGGGAGGGAAAGTCATGGGGGCCATGCCGGTTTTGGTCGAAAACTGCTGAGCACTCAGCGGGCTGCGGGCAGGTGTGCTTGTAAATCACCCGTCGTGAAACGGGCAAAGGCGTTGGAAGAGTCTTCAGAAAAACTCACCAAAGCCGAATGCCGCCTCTCACAACAACGCCAGCTGCTGCACCGGTGCAGATGGGTTCCTAGCACTCTCACCTGGCAGGGCGGCTTGGACTGCAAGGGGCCCACACGCCAGAAGGTAGTTCCGGGTTTGGGGGGTTCCTCCTTGTACGTGGAGGCTAATTATACTACTCAGCTAATGTGTTAGAAGATTTCTTACGTTGTTTTGCCTTTTTCTTCCACGTGTTGCGTTAACTTCCTCGAGCCCGTTTTCTGTGTGTTTCCCAGGCCGCCGTGATGGCAGACAGAGTCCCCCGCTGTGCAGCCTGCGCTGGCCTGGTGAAGCCCGATGTCGTGTTCTTCGGGGAGGCGCTGCCCGAGAGGTTCTTCCTGCACCTGGTGGACTTCCCCACCGCAGAGCTGCTGCTCATCCTCGGGACCTCCCTGAAGGTGTGTCCGCAGGCGGGTGCAGGGGGTGGGCGTGGGGGCAGGGGCGGGGCAGGGAGGCTGGGGAGCTCCCTGGGGCCCACCTGTGGAAGGCAGTTGGGTTCGACCAGTGAGGAAGCAGATGTCCAGGCCTCGGGGGCGGCAGAATGGGAGGGGGTGCCAGGCTCTGGAAGTGCTGTGAGCGTGCGGGGGTGAGGGGCACAGTGGGCAGGTGGGGGCTGGGGGGAGGCAGAAGCAGGCTTCCTGGGTCACAGGCCAGTTTCATGCCAGCAGCAGCGACGCACTCGAAGGGCTCAGACCAGGGCCACTGTGGGAGCGGGAGCGGGCATCAGAACAGGCAGACGTCTAGGAGCCGGTCCAGGAAAAGGCAGAGGTCTGGGCACCCTCAGACCCCCGGACCACTAGAGGGGCCGAGGACCGGGACCTCTGTCCTTGCGGCCTGGTGTCATTTTGAGGACTGCAGACGAGGGACTCTGGCCTGGTGCTCAGGGGCTCAGAGCACTTCTGGTGAGGAGTTTGGAGGGAGGGTGCTGAGCCCAGCTCTGCAACTGTGTAGTTGAGGTGCATGTGGAGGAAGTGTCACTGTCTGGGCCTGATGCTCAGGAAGTTGGTCAAGGATGTGAGGACAGCAAACAGGGAGGCCCTAGCCTTGGGCCTGGCTGGCCGGAGGCACCAGGGTTGATGGGCCAGCCCGGCAGGGTGCATGGCACGTGCCATGAGCAGGCTGTGCTCTGTGGGGAGGTGGCACATGGCACAGAAAGTCTAGAGGGGCTGGGACTGGCAGGAGCTGGAGGAGGTGTGGGTGTGAGAGAGGGACATGGGGGGGGTAGTGCCCAGGGGCCCTTGGCCACCTGCCGCAGTGCCAGACAGCGTCAGTCGTGACAGGCCGACTTCTGTCCCTCTGGGTGATGTGTCCTGAACAGACCGTGGGACCAGCGTGGAGCAGGCGGCACCAGGGGCCGTGGAGCCGTGGGTGTGCAGTGGGGCGGTGGGACAGGGAGGCTCCACCTGGACGGAGCTGATTTCCTGAGACAGAGGCCTGTTGGGTGGGTTTGGGGAACGGGTCCTGCTGATCTGAGGAGCGTGCGGGCTGCGGAGTGGGCGTGCGCAGCAGGCACAAAGGACCAGAGGTAGGAGTGGGGCTGCCAGAGTGAGGACAGAGTGGGGTGCCCACATTGGGCCTGGATGGGGCACAGCCTGGCAGGGCGGGCAGGGGCCTGGGGCCCTGGTGCCAGGCCTGCCTGACCCGTGCCAGCCACTGGGTGTGGACACTGGGGCTGCCAGCCCTCTCTATTTTTTTTAAAGATTTTATTTATTTATTTTTTGAGAAGAGGGGGAGGGAGAAAGAGAAGGAGAGAAACATCAATGTGTGGTTACCTCTCATGCGCCCCCTACTGGGTACCTGGCCTGCAACCCAGGCACGTGCCTCAACTAGGAATTGAGCCAGCGATACGACCCTTTGGTTTGCAGCCCGGCGCTCAGTCCACAGAGCCTCACCAGCCAGGGTCCTGCCCTTGTCTGTGGAGAAGAATGTGATGGTCCCATATCAAATCGTCTTCTCTGACTTCAGTTGTCAGGCCTGCAAAGTCCTTTTGCTTAGAAACCCCAAATTTTCTTCAAGAGCTATTTTGCTAACACTTAAATCTTTAACCCATTTTAAACTATTACGGTGAAAGGCAGGGATGGAGCCACGTCCCTTCCAGGAGAGAGCACGTCCCCGGACTGCTCACCAGCCTGCCTGCCTCTCACTCTGGGGCCCTTGACCGTGCACGGCGGTGGCAGCTGGCAGTGCCCAGGGTGGGGGCGGACTGGGGCCACTGCGCCAGCGGCGTGTCAGCAGCCTCGTTGGGGAGGATGCAGGTCACTGGTCGTTAGAGAAACGTCAGCTCTCACACCCAGGAGTGAGGTGGAGAAGAGGGGTCATGGGTCGGGGTGTGCTGGGAGATGCGGCCTGGTGCAGGTGGGGTGGTGCCATTGTGACTGCTGGGACTGAGCCCGGGGTGGGACACGGAGAGCCGAGTGGGGGAGGACGCAGAGTGGGTGGTGGGCTTTGTGTCCCTGAGGGCGTGGGTGGTGGGATGTGGCTCCTCACGTGTGGCAGTTTTTCAGGTAGAGCCGTTTGCCAGCCTGTCTGAGGCTGTGCGGAGCTCCGTGCCCCGAGTGTTCATGAACCGGAAAGCAGTGGAGTCCTTGCGTCCTCGAAGCAGGGATGTGGTGCAGCTCGGGGACCTGGTGGACAGCGTGGAAAGGCTGGTGGAGCTGCTGGGATGGACGGAGGAGATGAGGGACCTGGTCCAGCGGGAGACCTCGAAGGTAGGCTGCCGAGCAGGACCGTCCAGGGGCAGGGCCTCCCCCTGTGGAGCTGTTTGGCTGAGGCAGGAACAGCGGTGCTGACCGTAGCTGTCAGTCCTGCTCCCGGGCTGCCGGGTGGTCTGTGCTCCTGGATCAGGCTTGGCGGTCCTTGTTACCTTTGTTTAGCGACAAAGAAACCCACTGAGTGCTGGTTTGCAAGTGGGTAGCGGGATGCAGGTCCCGTGGCTTTGGGCTGACTGGTGTTTCCTAGTTTCTATAAATTGGGTTGCGATTATGTGGGTTTAGTTAGGGGGTTGCTCTCCAGGAGGACATGCTGGGGCACATCCTGATTGGATGCTCAGACGAGGCCCTGCGTCCGGCACCAGCCTGCGCAGCCCTGCTGGCCTCGCCCTGTTGTGGTCCCCAGCTGCTCTGCGCTCTGCGGGCGGAGAGGCGGCAGTTCATGAAGTGGCGTGGGTTGCACCCAGGCCCTGAGACCAGTCCGCTTGCAGATGACCAGTCCCCTCTCTCCCTGTGCTCCAGCTCAGCAGACCAGACAGATAGAGGGACGGCTGCGTGGAGTTGCTGCCCACTTCCGAACAGACCTCACGCCTGAAGAGCAGCTTGAGCAGGTTCACAGATTTTGGCCAAGCCGAAGCACAGGGCTGTTGCAGGCGCATCTCCCCAGGCCACGGGCACACTGGGTGCCGCCCCCTTGGCCCTCTTCCCTCCACTGGACGCTTGGTGCCGACTGCTTGTCCGGAATATGGCCCTGGCCTGCAGACCGCATCCAGCTCCGCAGTCGGCCCATCCCAGGCGGAGCGGGTTGGGTCCCAGGTGTGCTGGGCTCTGGAAGGCCAGTTTCCTTAGCAGGGTCATTTTTAGTTTGTCCTTCACACGTGGCACTGAAATAAACTTCACTGTGGAAGTGGGGTGTCCCCTCAAAGGGGATTCGGGTGCTGAAAATTGTGGAATGGGGACCTCAGGGGTGCAGGGACAGCTGTCCCTGACTCATTCCTCACAGAACGTCCCCACGTCCTGTGTGCCCTCATGTCTTCCCTTCACGTTCACTTCCCCCCTCCACCTGTTCCAGACTCGCTGGACTCTCCCCACCAGGCCTGCCAGGAGGGCAGCTTGGAGGGACCCCCAAAGTGTGGGTGGCACCCCTCTCCCTGGCTGGCCTGGACTGCTGGGGCCAGTGGTGGGCTGGCACCTGCACCCTCTGCAGGGGCGCCCCTCCTTCCGAGGCCAAGACCCTGGTTGGGAGCTCTCCAGGCTTCACTGACAGAGCCTCAGACGGCTCTGGTGGCCTCCGTCCCTCAAGAAGGGGTGACATGAGTGGTGACGGGAGCAAGCTTGGCGGGGCGAAGGACAGGCTGGGCTGGCCAAGAAGTGCGTCAGGTGTCTGCCGTGAAATGAGACACGCTTTCCACTTTCACCGATAGCTTTATTGAATCGGATGTGTGGAGTCTGCTGGCCATTTCCCGCTGAACACCTTCCGCAGCACCGGACGGCCTCCAGCACAGGCTTCTGTGACCACAATGTCAACAGCACCCAAAACTTCAAAAACCAGTTTTGACACATTCAACCAGTCACAGCACCTTCTCCCTGCACTGCACAAGTCTTTTGTTTTGGTTGTATTGTTACCTTTCTTGAAATAATAAAGCACGATATACCCAAAACATCACATACTGTCTTCCATCTCCACATTAAAATGGCTGCACAAGAACCCACCCGTTTTGGTTTTTCACTGCACACTGACGTGAGTGGCACAGCGCACGCTGACGGAACGCGTTAGGACAGCTGCGCGGTAACTCACGGGAAGCACTGGGTAGACTCTGGCCGGCCCAGTGCTTGCACTAAGGGCACCTCTGCTGGGCTTCCAACAGTTTCTCTCACAAGTGCGTGCACACACACACACGTTCTCCCCGAGACACTCCCAGGACGATGCTTCTGTGGCACCCGACAGAGACGCAGACCCAGCCTCACCAGCAGTGTTTTCCTTATGTATTTACGACCCACGCCAGTGGGGAAGACCGAGGTGCCACGGCCACAACCAGCGTGGGTGGGGGGGGCTCGGGACTATGGACGGCACAGCAGGCGGCTGGGCCAGGACCAAGAAGGCAGACGGAGCCCGTGGGCTGCGCCTGGTGGGCAGACGGCGCACCTCCCGTCAGCAGGTGGGTCCAGCGGGTTCTTCCCCCTTTGCACTGGAGGCCCCGCCAACTTCCGGGCCCTGGGCCAGCGAGCAGCCCGCTTCCCCGACGCCCAGCCTCCTGGCTCGCGAGAGAAAGCGCTGGGTGGGAGGCAATCGGCCGGGCTTCCCCAGTGCCAACAGCACAACCCTTTCCCAGTCCCAGCGGCCGGGAAGGGGGCCAGAGACAGGTCAGGGACACAACTTGGGGAGTGAGGAGAAAGGGACCCCGAGGACATCTCTGGAAGCTGCACTGGTTCTGATGGGGGCGCAGTGTGGCGTCCTCAGTCGGGGTCCGAGTCGGGGTCGGAGGAGAGCTGGCCCTCCATGCTCTCGCACATGGCGTCCCGCAGGGAGGTGAGATGGCCCCGGGGACTCACCCCCATGGGCTGGATGACTCTGTGCCTGCAAGCAGAGGGGCGGTGGGTGGGTGTCCCGCTCCCCACCGCCCCCCATGGCTCCCCAGGCTGCTCCTGCTCTGGGTGCCAGCCAGGCTGCGCCCTAAGTGCTGCGGTGCCCAGGGCGCCGAGGCCTCAGGTGGCCTCTCAGTTCTCCGGGGCTCTGTCCCCCGAGGACGCCGTGCTGGTCTCAGCCCAGCTCTAGCCTGGGGGCTCCCTCCACGGCAGCGGACACCGGACTTTCGGAGCCCCCTGCTTCCTCTGACCCCACCTCCTGGGTCTCACAAGACAGGACGGGCCGCACACCTGGAGAGCTTGTCAAACATGTTCACCAGCTTCATAGCCTCGTGCTCCTTCTGCTCCTCCGTCATGCCCTCCATGGGGTTGGGCAGCTTCTCCTCCACCCTCCCGGTCACCGGGTTTATGCTGCTTCCCGAGGGGGGGGCATGGGGAAGGCATTAGTGAGTCTAGTTAGTGAGGGACCCGTGGGTGGGGCGGCCAGGTGACTGTGGGAAGGACCCGCCTCCTGCAGCAGAAGTCTGGTCCCCCCGCCCGCCCGGCCCCTTCAGCCGGTTCTCAGCAGGAACTCCCTGCGGTGGGACCGCACCCCGAGGGGACGGTGCCCACCCGCTGCAGGCCCAGGTGGCCGAGGGAGCCCAGGGGCGCGGGCACACACCTGGCCTTGGCCTCCTTGTACTCCTCAGTGTCTGTGTCCTCGTCCTCCGAGTACTGGCCCTCGGGCCGGCCCCCCGCCATGAGGCCCCGGGCGGCCAGGAGGCCGGCCGCGTTCCCGTAGCCCGTGTACTTGACGAAGCGGGGCACTGAGGGCAAGGCAGAGGGCAAGGCAGAGGTCAGCGTGCGCCCCAGGCTGCTGCTGGGGGCGCAGCCGCCCACACTCACCGCTCTCGGAGCACAGGACGAACAGGAACTCCGCGGCCACCCTCTTCACGTCCGTGTCCAGGTGCGTCATGAGGCGGACGAGCTTGTTCCGCAGCTGCTCCCCCACCTCGGGCCGGGTCTTCACGTCCCTCAGCGGGGGCAGCACCTGGGGGCAGCTGTCCGTCAGCCTGGGCCTGCGGCGGCGGCCGGGCTGACCGGGTGCCCCCCCCGCCCCTCCGCCATACCTGGGCCTTCAGGAATTTCCTGGCGGGGCGGTGCAAGCGGGCACACTCGGTCAGCACGCTCAGCACCGGGGCCACGCTCTCCTTCAGCCTGTGCGTCTGCAGAGGAGCCTGTGTCAGCGCAGGGGCGGCACGTGCCCCGACTGCACGGTCCTGGCAGGCAGCCCAGAGAAGGGACCCCACCAAGGGCTGAGAGTGGGCAGCGGGTGTCCGCTTCCACAGGGACTGGGCTGGATCCTAACTCCAGAGGCCAGCTGCGTGCCCTGTGTCCCCACTGCTCTGAGTCTAACTTCCTCCCTCACCGACCGGGGCTGCAGGGAAGGGCAGTGTGTAGAGCTGGGAGCCACTGGCATGCGAGTTGCCCTCAGAAAACAGTGGCCTAAAAAACAAGAACAAGGGACTTCCACCAAGATGGAGGCGTAGGTGGAAACACTGTGCCTTCCCGTACAACCAGGTTTAAAGACAACAAAGTTTTAGTAACAAACACGCAGCCAAAACACAGAAAATTGAACTATACGGAAGTCCAAAAACAGCGAACCCTTCAGCCAGACCGGTGAGAGGGGCGAAGCCAGCAGCAGAGCCGGGTTAGGCAGGAAAGATCCCGACTCAGACGTGCAGGCAGCCATGGGCGGACCCAGTGAGGGCGCAAGGTGGCAGGCTGACTGTGCTCTCACATTTGTGCGCAGATAAACCAGCGAAGGAGTGAGCAGTGAGACAGACCGAGCAGGCCCCAGTGGCAGGAAGGAGCAGAGGGGACAGATATTGCCCCTCTCTGACCCTGCCCCCACATACAGCGTCACAAACCAGTGCCCTGGGTGGCCCCGCCCTGGTGAACAACTAAGGCTCCGCTCCTCAAACAGAACAGGTGTGAACAGAACAAAACATGGCTCAAGAGGAATTCAAAGCCCCAGAGCCCATAACTCTAAGTGACCAAGAGATAGCCAACCTATCAGATGCACAGTTCAAAACACTGGTGATCAGGACGCTCACAGAACTGGTTGATTTTAGTCACAAATTAGAGGAACAAATGAAGGCTACACTAAGTGAAACGAAGGGAAATGCACAGGGAACCAATAGTGATGGAGAGGAAACTGGGACTCAAATCAAGGGAGTGGACCAGAAAGAGGAAAAAAATGACCAAACAGAAAAGGATGAAGAAACAAGAATTAAAAAAAATGAGGAGAGGCTTAGGAACCTCCAGGACATCTTTAAATGCTCCAACATCCGAATTATAGGGGTACCAGAAGAGGAAGAGAAAGAGCAAGTGGAAAACTTATTTGAACAAATAATAAAGGAGAACTTCCTAATCCAGGAAGTTCAGAGAGTCCCAAAGAAGTTGGATCCAAGGAGGAACACACCAAGGCACATCATCATTACATTAGCCAAGATTAAAATGAAGGAGAGAATCCTAGAAGCAGCAAGAGCTAAGGGGACAGTCACATACAAAGGAGTCCCCATCAGACTGTCAGCGGATTTCTCAAAAGAGACCTTACAGGCAAGAAGGGGCTGGAAAGAAGTATTCCAAGTCATGAAATCCAAAGACCTACAACCAATATTGCTCTATCCAGCAAAGCTTTCATTTAGAATGGAAGGACAGATAAAGTGCTTCTCAGATAAGGTCAAATTCAAGGAGTTCATCATCACCAAGCCCTTATTATATGAAATGTTAAAGGGACCAATCTAAGAAAAAGAAGATAAAAAGTATGAAGAGTGAAAGGATAGCAAAGTCACAGTTATTAACAACCACACCTAAAACAAAAGCAAACTAAAAGGACAGCTAGATCAGGAGCAGAAACATAGAAATGAAGATCACATGGAGGGTTAGCAACAGGGGAGTGGGAGGAGGAGAAGGGGGGAGAAGGTACAGAAAATAAGTAGCATAGACAGTAGGTAGAAAATAGATTGGGGGAGGGCAAGAATAGCATGGGAAATATAGAATCTAAAGGACTTGAGACACATGGTCATAAACTAAAGGGGGGGTGATGGTGGGGGAGGGGTGTGTAGGGTGGAGGGGAATGAAGGGGGGGAATAGAACAACTGTAATGGCATAATCAATAAAGCATATTAAAAAAAAAACAAGAACAAAATCCCTACTCTGTGGGTTTCACAGATGCACAGCAGGGAGCTCCTGTCCCTGTCCCTGTCCCTGCCCCTCGGACACCAGTAGTGGCAGGACAGACAATCGCGGCCAATGTGTGCAATGCCAGGCACATGTGACCCAGCTCACAGGGAACCTCACTGTGACTACGCAGCCCCAAATGTCCACCAGGTCCAAGAGGGGCTGCTTGGAGCTGGCCAGTGTCCCCCGGTGCAGCCACAGGCACCGGGGTCTCCAGCTGGAGGCTGCCGTGCTCGTGGGACACTGACGCTGCCTCCCAGGGGATGTCTGTGCACCACCATACTGAGTCTAGGGTCACAAGCAGGGACTGGGGGGGCTCTCAGGACCACTCAAGAGGGACCCACAAGCAGGTCTCAGAAACAAGGACCTTGCTAGACTCTGCAAACTCAATTCCAGAGAGGGAACCTTCAAGTGTGTGTGGGCAGGTCTGCCTGCTTCTCAGGGACGGGTCTGCTTTCCTGCCTGCTGGACTGAGAGGCAGCTGGGAGAACCGCTGTGGAGCGACCTTCCCTTACCAGGGGGACTTGGCTAAAGCAGGGGCCACGGCAGGGGCTGCCTGGGAAAGCCAGAGCCCCTCGGAAGCCCTCAGCGGGGGCCCCTGCCCACCTGGTGCAGACGCTTCTCCAGGAAGCTGAGGAGGGTGCTGACCGCATCCATGCTCACTCCCAGGACCTGCACGGAGCCCTCGTGCGGCTCCAGGCTCAGGAGCACGTCCAGACACTTGAGGGGCAAGTTCCCCAGCAGGTTCACTGTGTGGCTGGGGACAGATGAGGATGGGGGTTAGTAAGTCTGCTCCCCTAGTGCAGCACAGGCCATGATGCCTCCTGCCAGGGCTGTACCACGGGATGTCAGCCAGTGTCTGCTTCTGGAGCAGAGGGGGCACCACCTCAGGGGTACCTGTAGTGGGGTGGGTCCCCAAGGAGGGCACTGTCTGTGGATGCTCCACCTGCCACCCTCTGTCTGGACTGACACATCGCAGGCCATCTCTGGACACCCAGAATCTGCCCAAGCACAAGTCCCCGAGCATGGAGGTGAGTGCCCTGCAGATGCCACACCGCTCACTGCCACTGCCCGAGGTCAGAGGCACATTCCCCTCCCCTGCTCATGGCTCTGGTCCAGAACGCACTGCGACTGCCAGGGCCCTCAGGGACGTGGGGAACACACTGATGTCTGGACCCACTCAGATGGACGAAGACCCTTTAGGGTGGAGCCCGGTTCCCATCGAGACGGGGGAGCCCACCTCCCTCCAGTGCGATGGGCCCCACCTCACCCATGGAACTCCTCTGTGCGGTCTCCAGCAGCGGGGACCATCACACAGTGCCGCAGGAGCGTCCCCAGGCGCCGATAGAGGGCAGCGTCTTCCTGACCAAAGAGAAAGGGGCTCCTGTGACAGAGCCGCGCCTGTCCCCCCTGCTGCCGCCGGAGGCTGCCTGCCCCACACCAGGACCCCGTGTGCCGACTGCATCTGCTCCATGCACACCACACCCTGTCGACAGCAGCCATGAATCCCTTGACGTCACACTGTGTTCCGGCCCACACTCAGTCTCTCCCCAAACTGCCCTCCTTCCCTTAGAAACCTGCCCCCTTGCCTCCTCCCAACAGGCCAAGGGCTCCCCCTGCCCTGTCTGCATCTAACACCCAGACACTTTACGGTCACCGAGGCAAGTCCAGGAAATGTCCAGCCTGTTAAGCACAAGCACCAGCACCAGCAATGGGTTCAGGTCAGCCCTTACCTCGTCCACTTCTCTCTTGACAGAGTCGAAAGTGATGTTGAAGAGAACCTTGAGGATCTCCATGGCCCGCTCAGTCTCCTGGGGCGGGAGGATCTCAGGAGGGCTCTGTCCCGGGGCCACTGCCAGTGTCTCCTGCAGCGCACCAGTCAGCAGGTGCACGCCCTGCAGCTCCTGGAACAGCTGCTGGCGCACGTCTGTGCGGAGCGCTGTAAGCAGGAACAGCAGGCGCAAGTCGAAGAGCTGGACTTCGTGGGGGAAACTGCCCTGGCAGTGCAGCCCCACGCGCTCAGCCAGCCTCACCACCAGGCGGGCCTCCGCAGCCAGCACCTGTGCCCTGGGGCTGCTGAGCACGACATTGCATAGGCACTTGAGGGACTCAAGTACCACGTCCATGTCCAGGGGCTCAGGGAACGACCCCCTGGCAGCGGAGATGCCGGCATAGCAAGCAAGGGCTTGCAGACTCTGACGGCTGGTGAAGATGTCTAGACAGCCACGGTCCCTGGACAGGATGCGGATGCTCTGCAGCCAGGTGACACGGCAGGAGGGCGGCAAACTCTGCTCCAGGACCGAAACCAGCAGCTCCGCCAGTCTCTGTGGGTAGACAAGGGCGGCTCCACCAGGCCCCTCTACCAGGAGCCACTCATCCCTACCCCTTGGCCCCTCAATCGGCACCCACCTTTCTGTCCTCCTGTTGGGCAGTATCAAACGTGAAACTCTGGGAGTTCTGCGGAGAGACCCAGAGGCTCAGAGAGCACAGGCCGCAGGCACCACTCTGAACAGAGCCCCACCCTACACACCTGCCTCCAGGTATGCACCCGACCAGCTCCCCAGCAACTCCTCGCAGCCTCTGTGCCCCGCCCCGCCGCGCGTCCTCCCTCGGTCCCACTCCCGCACCTCCGCGGGCACGCGCGTGCCCCACCCTGCTCCCTCCGCCTCGAGCGTCCCATCGCCACGGTCCTGCTCACCTCCCGGTTGTACGTGCGCAGAGCCTCCACGATCACGTCCTCCTCCCCCGTCTCCACGGCATCCGCAACCGCTCGGGGTTCCATGGCGTCCCCGGAACCCAGCACAGAGGGGGCGGGAGGGGCTTCGCGGCTCGGTTCCGGGCCGTAGTCCACCCGCCCCGCCCTGGCTCTGCGCGCGGGAGAGGCCGGGTCCGGCGTGCGCGGCGCCGCGGGGCGGGGTTTGGCGGCGCGCGCGCGCCTTCAGGTGGCTGTGTCGGCCAGGGGCTTCAATCGGCGATCGTCGACCTCGGGGCCCGAGTCGCCCTTGAGCTGAGCAGTGACCCCTTCAGCGCTTCTTGGACCGGACCCGGGGGTGGGGAATGAGGTTTTGAGAGGGGATTCCGACTCGGTTTCATGGTGGGCTGCAAAGGGACCTGCCAAGGGCGGTTTCGCGGACACCAGATAAGAAATGAGCCAGGAAAAGGATGTGGGGGAAAGTCACCGAAGGCAGAAAGAACAGCCCGTGGAAAGGTGGGATTGGCCTAGTGGGAGACAGGAGTGTGGGGAGAGGAGGTCAGGACGGAGGCAGAGCTTGGTCACGTGCGGAGCACCCTAGCTGGGCACCCCAGGTACACCGGCCCACCCAGTTTACTCTTTTGAAAGAGCAGATAACGATTCCCATTTCTTTGGGCGGTCGGGGGGAGTCAGGACACGCAGCGAACGCTCCTCTGCGGCGGGAGGCGGGGTAACTTATGCAACAATCGTTTGTCGAACGACTAAGTTGTGCAAAGGCAAGAAGCGCCGGCTCCGATCGCCCCGCACCTCCACTCCCACCAGGGCGCTTCGCGCCTGCGCGCGTCCGTGGCCACGCCTATCCACTCGGTCCTGCGGGGAAGGGCCCGACGCAGCCGGCGCCGGTCAGCCCGGTCCCTGGCGGGGACAACAGTGACCCCCGAGCGCCGGGAGCTCACAGGCAGTTCCTGTCTAAGGGGTCCTCTCGGTGCCCCAGCCCGACCTCAGCCGGAAGTCGTCGGCCCGAGGCGGAAGGGGCGTCGCCGGAAGCCCCTTTGCGGGACGGTGCCACGTCGCGGGAGGTTGTGGTGGACCCGGGGCCGGGGGACCGGGCCAGCACGATGGCCGACTGGGCTCGGGGTGAGCGCAGGAGAGCGGAGCCGGGGGGTGCGGGGCCGGCCCACACCCCGGCCTCTGTCCGCAGGAGCCCGCCCCTGGGTGGCCCCGCCGGGAACCCCGGGGTGGCGGGCGGGGCCGGCTGCCCGACTGCTGCAGGGTCCCAACGCCCCGAGGCCGCCTCCAACTCCTGCGAGGCCACCCTTCCCTGGGCCGCAGTCCGCACTTCCCCCAGGCGGCGTGGTGTGAGGGCCTGCGGGGCTCGTAGAGGAGGGGCCCCGCGATCCCCATTTTCCTGTGGAGCCCCTGTTCTCACCTGCGGAGTGGGGCGCCGATGCCAGGCGCTGAGCTGTCCTCAGCGTCAGGAGTTGGTGAACGTGAGGTGGCCGCTGGGTCTGTAGGCATCAATGACGCCCCCGGAATCGGGTCTCACTGAGGCATCTGGTTCTCCACCACTGGGGGGGCCGCAGTTTCCACACACCTGGTGCGGTGGGGATTCCGAGTGACCAGCTTCAGCCCTATCTCGCATCCCAGCCAGCCCGTGCCTGGCCGGTGGGGCGTAAGCCCCCTTCTGTTGTTGGGGAGCGAGGTTTCCTCCCAGGTTAATTGTCACTGCTTCGGGCTCAGTGTGCATGTGGTCACTGCGGCTGTCCTCTGGGTGCCCTTCCTAAGTCTTCCTTAGTCTGCACCAGCCTGTACTGGTTACTTCTGAGAACAGGTCGCAAGCACATCAGTGTGTGGAGGGACAGTCCAGAGCTGTCACAGACCGTCTGAAAGTGCCAGTGGGACTGAACCCTGGGGGGCTGTACCTGTGGAGGTTCCCGCCTGTCGGCCTGGGCGTGGACACACGTAGCCTGCCCACATGTGTGAAGTCTGCCCCGGAGCCTGGGTCTCCCAGATGTCAGGCCTGGCCAGATGGGACTGTAGTCAGAGCCCTGAGGCCACCAAGGGCTGCAGGGTAGGGGTCAAGGGCTCACAGGCAGACGTGCCCCTCAGCCTCTTTCCCCCTGCAGCTCAGAGCTCCGGTGCCGTGGAGGAGATTCTAGACCGGGAGAACCTGCGCATGGCCGACAGCCTGTCCTCCAAGGTCACCAGGCTCAAAGCGGTCAGTAGTGGCCCACTGTCGCCTCCGGCTGGCACCCTGCAGTGGGACCAGAGCGGGTAGAGGCCTGGAAGGGTTTTCTGTGCTTCCCACTTGTGTGAGGCCCGGGTGGCACTGGGCCTGACCCCTGGTGGTGGCAGGGCAACTGGCAGAGCCGTTGGCAGGGTCTGCTGGTTTTGGGGGGGTCAAGTGCCCTCGAGTGTGCGGCCCTGGCCTGACCCTGACCCCTCTGTGTTCCGACCAGCTGGCCCTGGACATCGACAGGGATGCGGAGGACCAGAACCGGTACCTGGACGGCATGGTAAGGTCTGCAGCAGGCAGGGGCCTGTCAGCTCTGCCCTCCGTCAGCTGCCAGGCCCCGGCGTGGAGGCGCCGCCCTGGGTGACTGAGCTGGGTTTCTCCCCCAGGACTCGGACTTCTCAAGCGTGACAGGTCTGCTCACAGGGAGCGTGAAGCGCTTTTCCACGATGGCACGGTCTGGGCGAGACAACCGAAAGCTTCTGTGTGCTGTGGCCATGGGCCTGATCGTGGCCTTCTTCATCCTCTCCTACCTCCTGTCGAGGGCAAGGACGTGAGCTGGGGCAGCTGGCTTCTGTGGGTGCCCGGGGCAGCCAGAGCCTTCCCCCGCCTGGTGTCCAGGGCTCTGGCGGGTCTCCCACAGAGTACTCCTTTGAAATGGTGGCTGTGGTCTAGGAATCTTCCTGTGTGGCTGGGAGGCCCCGCTGCCTCTGAGTCGCGGCCCTGTGGCTGGGAGCCCACATCTGAGCAGAGTGTCTGGAAGTCCTGGACGTGGCCACCTGTTTGCAGCCCTTCCCCAGCCCGGAGGTTTCTGGCATCGCAGGGCTCCTCCACTCCACGGCCACTGGGGTGAGGCCGCAGCTCGTCTCTGAGGTCCCCGGATCTGAGTGGAGTGGGGGTGAGGCTGTGAACCTCCGATCAGCTTCTCTTCACCGCCCGAGTCCCAGCCCAGGGGTGGCAGTTACTCCAGGCCAGGGCGTGTGCATGGGTGGACCCATGCCGAGGGCCCCTCACTTGGCCTCTGCCTGCCCTCCTGTCCCACGTCTGAAGCCAGACTGTTGGGGAGGCGCAGGGGTGTGGATGGAGTCGTGGACTGCTTCCGGCCGGAGGCCCTGGGCCCCGTCTTTTGGATCCTGCAGCCATGTATCCCAGGGTGGGGACCCACACCTTCTCAGGATGAGGATCTTTCCAGAGATGTGTCCCGGAGACCAGGTCACTGGAAACGGGGCTCTGGGGGCTCAGAGTCAGGCCGAGGGTCGGTGTCCTGGCGGCTTGTGGGTCTTGACAGGACCCCCTTTGTGGGACCCACAGGTCACTTCTTGAGGGTCACCGGGCTGTTTCTTCTGTACCAAGCCAGGCTGTGCCTCCCTCAGGGAGCCCCCCCTCCTGAGAGGGGGCCCTGGGCCAGCTCCTCACCCCAGCTTCTGCAGACCGTCCTGCCCAGCCACCTGTTCTTGGGTCCTGGCTGCCTGCTTGGCCAGCCACAAACCAGACCCCAGGCCCTGCCAGGCCAGCTGCTTCCCCCCTCAGTGGGACTGCAGTGCCCTTGTCTTCACGTGGAGACTTGTCATGGCCTCGGTGTCCTTCCCTGTCCTCACGCCCACCCTCTGCCTTCCTAGTCACTCCCCCTCACTGCCTTGGGGCAGGTGACCCCCTGCCCGCCCTCCTGTGTGGTCATCCCACATGTGGTCACATCCACGGGCTTACTGGCTCCTGCCTTCCCGCTGCTCCTCCCAGCAGGCCTGGCATGGTCACCACGGTGTCCTCTCTAATGCACACGTCGACGGGCCCCTCCGGCTCAGGGGAGGGGGACTCTACCTTCTTCCTCCCGAGGGCTCTGCCCTGTGTGTCCCAGCATCCAGCACATGCTCACTTGCCACCGAGGGGGCCAGCCTGCCTCTGTCTCACGCTGCTTCCCCTTGATGCTTGAGCCCCAGGGTCCTGCCCTGCTCACCAGTGACCTTGTGCACCTCGGCTTTGGCTCAGCCCCCAGCCTGTCTCACGTGAGTGAGGACTTGTCCGCAGCTTTACCAAGCAGCACGGTGGCTGCCTACACACCTCCTCACTGCAGAGTCCGCGCTGCAGACGCCTGGGCCCGTGGCGCCAGGCTCACACCCTGAGAACAAGGCTTGGCCTGGCACCAGGTCACCACCGAGGGCGGCTGTGCCCACTCGTTGCCACTGCAGACTAGGAGTGCAGGTTCTGTGCTTTGTGTGCTTGGGTTGCTGCTCTTGTGAGACGCTTCTCTTTGGGAACCTGGGGGTTGTTGGCTCCTTCCTGTTTTGCTTCCTGTTCCTCCTCGTCATTGTGTCGGGGGGTCGGCAACTCAGTCAGAGTGGGGTGTCGTGTGGGCCGTACCCTCTCGCTCAGTCTGTGCACGCAGTGCGTGATCCTGGGGGCAGGAGGGGTTTGCTGACACCAATCCCCACGTCCAGTCTGTCACATGGGGACACATGGCCAGGTGCTGTCCCATAATTTGATGACAAAACATTGTACCGTAAAAGTTTGGAATAGACAGCCCTGGCTGGTGTGGTTCAGTGGATTGAGCGCTGGCTTATAAACCAAAGGGTCACTGGTTCAATTCCCAGTCAGGGCACATGCCTGGGTCATGGGCCTGGTCCACAGTAGTGGGCACTTGAGAGGCGACCACACATTGATGTTTCTCTCCCTTCCTTCCCCCCTCTCTAAAAATAATAAAGTCTCTTAAAATTTTGGAACAAACAGCCTCCTCATTTCCTTGGGGGCTGGAGAGGGTTTTGTGTGGCGCTGACCCTGGTCCTTGGACACCAGGGGCACAGAGGGGCCCCTGCACCTCCTGGCTTGTGCCTTCAGGGCCCCCCCTGCCATGTCTCTGTAGCTCAGACGGGGTGGGGTGACTGCCTCTTCCAGATTCAACCCCGAGCGCCCTGTGTGGCGGCACCAGCCGGCACCTTCCTTGCTTACGTCCTGCCTGTCTGTGATGTGTCACCGATCTCCTTGAAACCCCGTCACTTCAATGTTAGTAGCGACTCATGTCTCACAGTCACTGTGGTTGGGACTTGAGACGGGCTGGGGGCTGGCACCCGAAGGCTCACTCCCTTGGCAGCGGGTGAGGGCCGGGGCGAGCCCAGGGCCGGGATGCTGCCCACAGCCTCAGAAGTGCTGCTGTTGCAGAAGGTGAGCAAGGTTTGGGTGGGTGGGGGGTCCAGGTGGAAGCTGCCTGCTCTGTGTGGTGTGGCCCCAGGGACGTCATTTTGTTGAGGGGTCACAGGCTCCAGTCCAGGTTAGAGGGGGGGGCACAGGCCCCTTCTCTTGGGGAGACTCCATCACGGAGGGGGAGGAGCACGTGGGAGGGGGCAGGCTGGTGTGGCCGGCAGGAGTCTCTAGAGTCACAGGGCCTGGCCCGAGGTGAAGTTGGGAGGACAGGCTGGGCGTCCTCGCTCCTGAGCTCTCTTGGAAGACTTGACCCTCCCCCCAAGACAGGCCCATTGCTAATGGAATCATGATTTATTAAATATGTGAGCACAGCAGGAAAGAAAATTAGCAAACAGAAAAGTAGCATAGAAAAATGTCACAAATCTCCAAACAAGTGTGCGGGACCCTGCAGGGCCAGGCGGCCGCCGCTCAGCGGGGGCAGTGTCCCGCGCCCCTGGCCCAGGCCCGCAGCTGGGACCCGGCGCAGGGCTGCAGGGCGGGGCTAGTCCGTCTGCACGAGCAGGGGCGTCATGTAATCAGAGTGCTTGATGCCGAAGGTGATGATGGGGGCACAGGGCTTGTTCATTGTCACCTGAGAGAGAAGAGGCTGTGACGGGCTGGCCCCCGCCTGCACCCCACAGGTTTTGCTCTCTCAGGCTGGGCTTGCTGATGGCTTTACTGTCCCCAAGATGACCAGCATGAAGGTCACATTGCCAAGTTTGAACACAAGACCTGCTATGTGGCAAGTGCTCAGTAGCATTAACTGTCTGGGGACAGGGAGCCTGCCTGCTGGGGGAGGGGCCAGGCGCCAGAAATGCACCAGCAGGCCCCCCAAGCCCACCTTGTCGGGGCCTCCTCTCACAGTCCCCCCCGACCCCCTGCCCTGTCTTCCAGACCTTCTCAGGGCTGTGGGCCCCTGGCCCTGGCTTGAGGGTCTTGTCCCCCGGAGGCTCCACACGGGCAGCGATGGTGTACTGTGGAGCCTTCAGCCTGGTCACCTGCACGTCGGTCTGGTGGTAGGCGGCGGGGCCTGGGGTCTGGGGGGCCAGAGGGGCTCAGACAGGCTCTGCCCACCTGGCCTTGTGACCCCAGAGGGCAAGAGGCCAGTGCCGGACGTCAGATCTCAGGCCCCGGGTCTCTGTGTCTGTGCCGGGGGCCCCTCTGACTCCAAACAGAGCTCTCTGTGGCGTGCAGCCAGTGCTGCGGGCCCTGTCCGTGTGGGGCGTCGTCCTCGACGTCAGCCTCACAGTGGCAGGGACACCCCGCGTGTGGCAGCCCGGGCTCACCCTGCTGCACGCAGGAGAGGCCCCTCCTCGGGGCCGGGATGCTGTCCTGGGAGGCCAGACTGGACGGAGGGGACACGGGCGCAACTGGGGTGTCTGCACTGGTTGCCACATCTGGTCCCCAGCTCCCTTCATCCCACATCGCCCCCTGCCCTTGCCCCCACGTAGGGCTCTGTGGACCCCTTTCCTTTCCCTGCTCAACCCTCCCTGGTACTCGCATGTGACGGGCACGGGGCAGCTCCCGGCCCCCCAGCGGGTGAAGCGCTGAAGGCCTTTGGGGGGCAGGGTCGAGCCGATGGATGGTGGGTCCTGGGGAAGGGACCACGAGGGCTAGTTTCGGGGTGCGCTCTGCCCCCCACCCCGTGCGCCTTGCCTTGTGCAGATCGTCGCTGAAGCTGCCCAGCTTGCTGCGGCCCTTGATGGAAAAGGAGGGCTGGGAGGCCTTGCCCACGGAGTGCGGCCCCATCACGGCAGGCAGCATGTACGCCGCGGGGCCTGCAGGGGGCGCCAGCACTGAGTCTCTGCGGCCCCCGCAGACCCCACCCAGGCGGCGGGGCTGTCAGGGCCGCCACGGACCTGGGGTACTGTCCACGCGGAAGGTCCTGGTCCGGGCAGAAATGGAGTGGCTGGGGGCCGAGTCGAACACATACTTGGTAGATCTCTCCGGGAAGTAGTCGCCTACAGGAGGGAAGCAGCAGAGGGGGCTGGCAGGGCAGGGGCCTCAAGGACCCCTGACCCGCAACCCCTGACGTTGTGGGCGCCCGGCCTCCAGGCCCCGGCTTGGGCGGTGAGGGTGGCGAGGGTGGTGACAGCGAGGGGTCAGGGGTGTTGGGAGGGGAGGTGCTGCGGGGTGCGGGCAGGGGCCCGGGACGGCCGGGTGCGCCTTTCAGGTGTCCCCGAGGCAGCGGCTCCTCCGAGGGGCCTGGTGGTCACTCCCCTGGAGGAGGGTGGTGGCTGTGCTCCCTCACACGCTGGCTCAGTGGTGCGGTGGCCGACAGGGGCGGGCTGGGTTGAGGCAGGGCCACTGTCACGCACCGGGGCCGGGGGTCAGCACGGTCTTGGTGCAGTAGCGCCCCAGGATGGAGAAGGAGGGGCCGTAGTCCTTGCCGGTCCTCAGTATCTTGGGGTTCACGCTGTAGCGAGGCCCTGGGGAGCAGTTCTCTGCCAGGAGCATGGGGGCCCCGCGGAAGCTGTAGGCGGGTGCACGCAGCTTGGTGGGCGTGTGCTTCACGAAGCCTGCGGGGCGGGGCTCTCAGTGGTTTACAGCCAGACCCGGACCTTTCCCCACCCTGTTGAACGCGGAGGGGTTGACGCCCTGCAGCCCAGATGAGCCCCAGACCTGCCCACGCCGGGCTCACCCCAGACCCGGCTCCCAGGCACCTACCTGTGGTAGGTGGAATCAGGTACTTGGGCCCCGGGCTGCTGTACAAGGCCATGATGGGCCCCCGGGGGCGGTGGGGCCTCCAGCTTCCCACCCACACTTCCTCCACCATGGTGGCTCTGTGTGTGGACAGGAGGGTGAGCAAGGGCTGGAGGGCCACCCTGCCCCCCCGCCCCCCTCGCCTGTGTTCCCACCCACTCCTCAGCGGGGTCGAAAGCTGCGAACGGACCTAAGGGCCGTGGAAGCTTCCGTCTGGAGTCGTGGGCTTGCTCTGCTCTCACCAGCGCCCAAGGCAGTGGCCCCAGACGCCCGGACGCAAGCCCAGACCAGCTGTCTCTTCAGGGCCTCGGGGACCACCCCTCCCTGGCTCTGGGCGACTGGCTAGTTCCTCCCACTCAGAGGCTGCTGGGCATGGCTGGGCAGGAGCAGCGGGCAGCTAGGCTGAGGCCGCACTCTGGGGTGGGCCCGGGTCCCCCTGGAGGGGCCCTTGCCTCTTGGGTCTGGGTGCAGCACTCAGAGCGGCCTCCGAACCGAGCCTCCTCAGAGGTGGTCCCGTTGCATCGTCCTTGGTGCCGGAGTTCCGCAGAAAGCAGCGTGCAAGGAGGGCCTCTGCCCTCTCCTCTCCCGCAGGGGGCTGGGGGCGTTGGGGCGGGGCCCGGCCCCTGACTCTGGAATGTGGCTCTGGGAGGGCAGGTTCTAGATTCCTGTCTGTGTGAGGGAGACAATGGCCTCCTACTGGAGGGACCCCCCACCCCGCACCGAGCCCGGTGTGGCTCTGGTCCCAGGACGTCAGTCTGCACCTCATTACCCAAAAAGAGGTGGCAAGTTCGTGGGGACCCAGAGCCAGGTGGCCCAGGGCCCAAGACGAAGGCTGTGAGGGCCAGAGTTTGGCCTGCTGAGGTCTGTCCTCGGAGACCACTGAGCAGGGGAAACAGAGGCAGGGAGGGACCTGGGGTCCTGGACCAGGGCTGGGGGGGAGCTATCGGCCCCTGACTGGACCCTGCTCTGTCTCTTGCCACGCTGGCCAGTCGGCCCCTCAGACTCGGGGTCCTCACAAGCTGGCACAGGTGTTCTAGCCTTTGCTGGGCCCCCCTTGGGGCTCTGGCTTGGGCATCTTCCAGGCTCTTTCCTTGGGTGACTTTGCGGGGAGGGCCTGCTCTGGCCCCTGGACCGCGCTGAGTGGGGACGGGGGCAGCTGACTGGCCTGGGGCGTGCGCCCTGCCAGCCAGGCCCCTCCTGGGTCTGGGCTCTCTGCCCGGCCTGCTCCGAGCCCATTCCCCACTCCACCGTGGACACTCTCTTGTCCGCACGTGTCCCTGCCTGTCACTCTCCTCTGTCCTCCAGCCCCCACGGGCCTCAGACTGGCTTCGCATTGCTGGCTGCCCTCTGTGCAGGGAGCTTGCACACGTGTGCCTCACCCATGTGCACTCGTGTGCGTGTGGTGGTGCCCCCGCGTGTGGGAAGAGATGGAGCCGGAGCCTGAGCTGCAGGAGGTTTATTGGTTGAGAAGTCGAGAAGGAGGTCACGCGTGGGGGAGGGATGTGGGCATGCAGCCACGGCTGTGTGTGGCCACGTCTGGGGTCCCCTAGGCGCCATCCTCACTGCCCAGCACTTGTACCTGGAAGGCAGACACAGGTGGGTCCCTCCTGGTGACCGGTCGCCGCAGAGCCACAGCTCCGTCAGGAGCACAGGTGCAGGCCACCCGCTGGGGGACAGTGGGCTCCCACCACTGCGGGGCAGCGTGCAGGGGCAGTGAGGCCCGCGGTGTCACCCCTGCGGGTTGGGCAGTGTGGGGTGTCTGGGGGCGGAGGGCCTGGGGAGCAGGGCTGTGGGAAGTGGGGTGCCTGACACAGTACCAGCAGCTTGACCAGCGCCGCCTTGTGCATGGGCTGCAGGCCGTCTATGCAGGACTTGAGCTCCACCAGCGCTGCCTTTGCGTCGGCGTTGACGTCGTACTTGCCCAGGGGCCCCTCGTAGAGGTCATCGGGGGAACCCACCAGCAGCGTTTGCAGGAATTCCATGAAAAACTCTCCGTTGTCCTCCCCCGTGGCCCGCCCTGCGTGGGGGGGCAGATTGATGCCAGGACGGGGGAATCTAGCCCTGGCCCCTAGCGCCCCAGGCCTCCAACCTCCACGGTCTCCGGACCCCCCATCAAGGCCGGCCTCACCTGTGCCAGGTGTCCCCTGTGCTTACCCAGCCTCACCTTCCCCTGATCTTTCTTCGCAGCACCCCAAACCCACCTTCCTGCAGACCCCACCTGGGACCCTAACCTCAGCGTTCTGTCTTCACTCCCTGCTCCCTGGGCTGCAGGAGAAGGAGAGCCAAGCTCCTGGCGTGGGGACCCCCCTCCACCTGAGGCTGGCCTGGGGCTTGGAGAGTGGGGACTGGAGTCGTCAGGGGCTGTGTTCTGGGATGGAGGAGGGCTGGGGTGCCCAGGACGGTGGGCACCCTCCGCCGTGGGGGGCCGGTGCCTGAATTTCTAGCTTTCTAGGTCCCCCCCCCCACACACAGCACAGTGTGCTGGAGGCACCCGTCTGCACAGACTCACCGCAGATGCAGAGCACGAGGAGGGCCACCAGCAGGAGGGTGCTGCTCCCCTTCATGGCGCACAGCAGAGGCTCCTCAGGGGCGGCCTGGGCCGGCTTTATGTCTCAGGGGCGGCCTGGGCCGGGGGTGGGTGGGGGCGGGGCGGGCCAACCTGCCCATCAGGACCTGCCAGGGGGAGGTGGGATGGCGGGGGCGTGTCCTCACCTTGCCCTCCAGGGGGCACTGTGCAGCCACAGGCTGAGGTGCTGCTGAGGGTGGGCAACAGATGGTTTTGGGGGAGTGGGCACAGGTGAGGGGCACCGTGACCCTGGTCAGGGAAGAAGGATGGTGGTGCCAGGGGCCTCTGCCTTGTGGGTCAGAGTGGCTGGCTCTGGGCTGGTTCTGAGTCTTTGTTTGGGGGGTCAGTCCCCCTCCATTCGGTGAGCCGCATGGGTTGGCATCTGGCTCGCCGCCCAGGGACTCAAGCCAGCAGGGGTGGGGGGCCTTCTGGGGCCCGTACATCTGGCTGTGGGAGACCGGGGGTGGGGGGCGGGGGGCGGTGCACGGAAGGCCTGAGCTGGCAGTTGCACCCAGGGATGGAAGGCGGGCTGGGAGGACGGAGGGGTGAGGAGCAGGGCGGTCCCGGAGGCCTGGCCGCACTCCCGCCTCCTTGCCAGAAGCAAGGAGGCAGAGCTTCCTTCTGTGGCCAGACCAGCCCAAGCTGGTCTGAGATACAGGGGGACAGTCACACCCACCCAAACCCCAACCAGGTGCCTCCGCTGGAGCAGCCATTCCTGGTTTCTTGAGTCCTGGCCTTGCCTCCTGTCCCCTGCTGCCACCTGGCGGCTAATGGTGTCCTCACCCCAGAGGACCCAGGGTCCAGCCCCTGCCCAGCCAGCCCCATTGGGCACTGACTTGCACATCCCCAGAGAAATCCACAGATTGGCTTTGTCCCCACTGGTGACCATGGTGTGCTTTGTCACCCTGCCCCTCACTTGCCTCCATCTGGGCTTGACTGTGCCACAGACCCCAAGTGAAGGGCCCTCTCTGAAGTACTGGGGTTTGTCTCGGCTGCACCGTTCTTACCAGCACAATCTCACCTGCAAATGTCCCAGCAGCCGCAGCAGAAACACAGCCCCCACGGCCCCTCAGACCCCTGTCTGGCCGCCCCAGCCTTCAGCCCGGCCCGGGCTCCTGGGGAGGGACGGACACACGTTGCATCTCCAGCTCTCTGGGCCTGGGCTGCCTTCTGATGGGAAGTTGCCGTCAAGACCTTCTGTCAGCAGGTCACACACGCTGCTGAGCCACACCCTGCGTGGTCACAAGTCCACAGACACGCAGGTGACGTGGGGAAATCAAGGAACTCCTTGCCCTGACCGCACATTTATTTTTCCTTGTGGCCCAAGGGGCCCAAGGAAGACACAGATGTTTTGTTTTTGCACAGAAGTGCGAAGACCACTGAACAGTGGTGATGTCAGACGCGCCAGACTGCCTGACGCACGTTGTTGATGGTCTGGGACCCAAGTGACTTCTTTTTCTCTGTGGGTTCCTTCTGTCCCAACACTGTGGGCTGGACCACGCGCTTTCGACAACCTTCTGGTCTGAAAACGCCTCCGAGTTGCTGGAGGCGGCCGGGCTGCCACTGCACCATGAGGAGAGGCTCCCCCACCCCCCCACCCCCCGAGCAGCACGCACTCTGTCCTGTCTGCTTCTCTTTGCCGGTCTGCATGACTCCCCTTCCATCAGACTGGAGCCTCCTGAGCAAGGAGGTCAGGTCCCCTGCTAAGTTCTGTGTCACTTTAGTGCATGTGTGGCAAAGAAGCGCCTCTGGCCAGACATACCAGCAGCGTTGGGTGTGGAAGGCTCTCTTCAGAGCACAGGGGCCTCCCGACCAGCGTCCAGAGCACAGGCCGGAGCCTGCCCGCAGGGCTCCGGCCCTTCACCTCCCAGCTGAGGGAGGGTGCTCGCGTGCCCCCTCTGGGCTGGCTTCCCTGGTACCCACCGTGTGCCATGTTGGTGGGGGCCAGGCCCTGTGCGGCATGGGGACTGTGACTCATGCAACCAGCGAGATTTCTTTCACTGTGAAAAGGCTACTGAAGCCCCAGCTGTTCCCCGCCCACCACAGGGTGTGGGCTGAGCCGAGTGAAATGCATCGTAAGGTAGAGTTTTTGCAGCTCTTGACCTTCAAACCTAGACAGGGCTCGGGAGAAGCACCTGCCCTGCTCCGTGAGGGAGAGGCGGGCAGAAACCCTGACCCAGTGCGACACCGAACCTGCCCTTTCCCGAGGCGGGGTGGCTATTGGGGGGGGGGCTTCTGCCCTGACCAGCACCTCCACCTCTCAGTGCAATTTCCAGGAGGTCCATCAGTGACCAGGAGCCACAGCTCCCCTGCACGGCCCTGAAGGAAGAGTGTGTGTGTGTGTGTGTGTGTGTGTGTGTGTGTGTGTGTGTGTAGGAAGCAGGAGGCATTTTGGCCGGAAACTGCAGCTCACAGAGCCTCGCCACCAGCCACCAGCTTGTGGGAGGTCCTTCCACTGGTTTGCCGGGTCTCGTACCAGCCGAGAGGCCCCCTCACAGGGGCAGGACGGGAGAGCCCGCCCAGGAGCACGAGAGCACGCTGAGAAACAGCATCGCGGCTTCTCTGGGCCACACTGGGCTGTCCTGCCTTACTCCCGTGAGGTTCCTCAAAAGAGGCTGCCTGACAACCACAGAGGGGGGCCTCCTCGTCCCCCGGACGCCTGGCACCTGCCACGCTGGGTCCCACCGGGCCTCCTCCCTCCCTGCCTCTGTGGAGGGGCCGTGACGTCCTGGGGTCCTCTCCCAAGAGCACAGCAGCCTTGGGGACACTGACCTCCAGGCTCCTGCAGGGACTGCACTAGAAACTGGGGACCAAGTCTCTAGCTTGCCAGGAAGAGACTCATTCCTAATGACCCATTCCAGTACCTCCATAAATCATCAAAAATGCCAACATTTTGGCATCCGAACTCAGTGTCACAGACTGCCTTTGACACTCAGAAGTAGGACAGAAACTCTCAGGCGAGACACCCTGTTCCTGAGCTCAGAGTGCGTGGACGTGGTGCCTGGGGTGGCTGCGGCCTGCCATCCACCTGTTTCTTGGATGAGGGTTCTGAGGCCCGGGCAGATCAGAACTGCTCTGCTGCCTCCTCAGATCCTGGGCTCCTCAAAACCCTGGGCTGAGCCCACTCCCCTGCCCTCCCAGGGGGGCACCAGCAGCCCAGAAGCAAGGTCAGACCCTCTCCTGGCCACACCCCAGCCCAGCCTGACGCCCTAACCGGAGGCCCCTCTGGCCAGCAGGCCGGTCCCCACACAGGTGCTCAGCGTGCATTCACTTCTGAGATTCCAGGCCCCGGTGGCCAGCAGCATCTTCAGCTTGGGATTCCTGGACAAGTCAAGGGAAGGGCCAGAGCTGGCCCAGCCCACGCCCAGGGCTCACCTTGCTGACTGGGGCAGCGCGGGGCGGGTGGGCTCCCCGGCAGGGTTGGTGGGTGGGGTGGGCGGCGTGTGAGCTCCTGTGCGCAGAGCCTTTGCTGGGAAAGAAGAGGCACGTGCCGGCCTTTGAGGAACTGCTGCCTGGCTGAGGAGACGCGCTAGGAGTTCAGGAAAGGAGATGTTTGAACAGAACCTCAGCAAGGGTCCGTGAACGAGGTGCAAACGAGGGCTGAGGATGGATGGATCTGAGGAGGAGGGGCATTCGCTGGCCACAGAGGGAGATCATGTCTCAGTCCAGACCCCGCTTAGACCTGAACTGGAGGTCCCCGCGGAGTCCCATTCTACAGTCATCTCTTCCACAGACACTCAGGAAAGCCCAGAGGGGCGGTGCCACTTGTTGAAAGCCACACAGCGGGTCTGTAACCACACTTTAGTGCTGGGGAAGGTTCGGCTCAGAAAGGGGATTTATTTCCTCACTGGTCTGGAGGCTAGAAGTCCAAGTTCAAGGTGTCAGCCAGGTTGGGTCCATCTGAGGCTTCTGACCTTGGCCTGCAGATGTCCATCTCCTCCCGTGTTTCCAAATGACCTTCTCGCTGCCTCTGGCTGAGCCCTCATCTCCTTTTCTTGTAAGGAAAGGCCCACCTGTGTGACCTCAGTTTACCCTAATTACCTCTTTAAAAGTCTAGTCTTACAAAGCAGTCACCTTCTGAGGAACGGGGGGCTGGGCCGCACTGTGTGAGTGGGCAGGCACTCGGCCCGAGCAGAGAGTGTGGTGCTTGGTTCTCACCGGCAGCGCCGAGGCCAGATGCAAAGTCGGAAGGGAAGCAGATCTTGAGAAGGTTGACTGAAGGTGAAAAGAGAAAGTTCGTGGGTAGAGGACAGGTGCCCTGGGAGGAATTAGGTGAATAACCGCAGTGAACCAAGCGAGCACGGGACCTTCTCCATTGGAGACCACACGGAGGCGTCCTGTTAGGTCCTGACGTGGCGACGGAGTGGCTGCGAGACAGCGGTGACCCCAGCAGCAGCTTGCTGGCCGCGGGGCTGTGGCTGGGAGTGTGGACCGAAGACATAGGGAGAGGCCTGGGGGAGAGGCGCTGAGAGCTGGAAGCCCTGCCGAGGGAAGTGGAGAAGGGACCCACCGGCTGCACACTGAGGGGTCTCGGCGTGCTGAGCGGGGGGCCTGGCTGCAGTCCCGCTGCTTCCTCGGCGTTTGCTGCGTCCTCTGAGGGTGGACGGTCAGGCTAGTCCCGGGTCAGGACAGAAAAGCCACTTCCTTTTCCTTAAAAAAAGTTTTTATTTATTGATTTTAGAGAGTGAGGAAGGGGGGGGGAGAGGTGGAGAGTGAGGGAGCGCGATTTGTTGTTCTGCTTGTTTACGCATCGTGGGTGCTTCCTTGCAGGTGCCCCATCCAGGATCAAACCAGCAACCTCCACGCATCAGGGCGACGCTCTAACCCCCTGAGCGACCCGGCCAGGGCCCCAGAGAGGGCCATTTTCAGTGGGTATCTGTGCCACTAGTATTTTTTCCATTTTCAGGTTTTTTATTGTTTAAGCTTATTTGAAAATTATGTAAAACTGGTAGGGTGTTCAAGTGTATCAGTCACTTATTGCTGTGTAAGAAGCCACTCCAACATTTAAGGGCTTAAAGCAATTAATTCCCCACCTTTTCTGTGAGGCGGGGCGGGGGGGGGGGTCTG